ATAATTGCGCGGGTGGTGCGACTGATCTGACTCATCACCAGCTAAAAAGTAAGGACAATGATGCCAAAAACTTTCAATCCAGGGAACAACATTTAGCAATTCAGACTAGGAACTAACTAGAATGAGGGCATAAAAACAGCACAAGAATACGCAAATACAGCGATACGGAGCCAAAGCTGAAGGTTCGATACAGGAAACGGAGAGCGAGCCCAGTTTCGATATGCGTAGCCTGTGCTGCATCTTGGGGTGCGCACCAAATAGTGTCCCATTTTTGTACTGTAGCGAAACTAGATACGGTGCTGTATCGCAACGAGATACGCTTTAGAAAGGGGACGAAGCCTTTAAATATCTAAAAGCCGGCCCGCGGCCCGTTTACCGTATTCACTCACATGGCGGCTCTGTGATACTGGTGGTAGCTTGGGCATTCACTAACCTCGAAATCTAATAAACATGTATTAATTTTATTTTAATAAATACTGAAGAGCTTGACTGATGGCTGAAAAAATCTTACAATTAGTATCTAAAGATGCAGCCTGCAAGGACACCTTGGGCGACCGTTAACTGTTCCCCGCAAGTTTCCATTAATTCTGCGCTAAAAAAATGGTATTTTATGGGCATCGTGTGCAGATATATGACCCCACTCAATCCATTTTATCACCGTTAAAATATTTTCTGTGGTACCAAAAAATTCAAGTCTTCAGTTCGTTAGATCGGTAATATAAAGTTACATTAAAAACGCGATAAAGAACCATGAAAAAAGAAAAACTTACGGGGGCTTTCACAGTTTTCAGAAAATGGTCGAATTTAACCGGAAAGCTTGAAAAAATTCCGCATTTCCAAATGTTTAAAATATTTTCGTAGCTGGCCTCGCTGGGTTTTATATTTGAAATATTTCTCAAAATCTTTTATAATGCTTTACGAAGTATATTTTGTATTTCTTTAATTCTTCCATACCTCAAACACAACTGGTCGCGCGCTAGCGCGACCGATACTTGTAATAACTATATCGTTCAGTGTGTTCGTTTCCTTTTGACTGTGCATGACCTTTCCCCTGCTGCAGTTGAAAATTTGCAAACATTAACGAATAAGTTTTTACGTAAATGGCTTCGCCTTCCTCGCTGTGCTAATACCGATTCTCTCTTCTTGCCACAGGGCGCTAATTTAAAATCTATTAAAAACACCTACTACCAAGCCCGTGGTGGACTTATTGTCGATTGTTTGATTTTAGAAGCTGACCCAGTAGTTCAGTGTGCCGCTGATGAAGTAATAACATCGCCCTCTAATGCTATGCACCTGTTTGCACCTGTTATTTAGTCTGAAGCTAAGATTGCCTGTGCAGCTATTGTAGTCAACACTAACAGCACCGCTGTTATCAACAAAGCACGTACCGCTGCCAAAGACAATGTGTCTTCCCATGTTTACTCCATCATCACCTTGGAGCGAGAACAACACGTGGCCAGTCTTATTCAACAAGGTGCCTGGCTGCGTGTTGGTCATGAGGAAGACGCCGACACTTATTGGGCCTCCCTTAAATTTGATTTACCACGAAGTACCTGCGCATTTCTCTCCCAAGCCCGACTTAATGTCGCCCCTTCCTTCACCGACCTCCATAAATGGGGCAAACTGGTGTCTCCCATTTGTTTATTATGTGGTCATGCGGCAGGCACACTCGGCCATATACTTAATGGTTGTCCAGTCTCTTTACAGTCTGCTCGCTTTACATGGAGGCATAACAGTATCGTCCAGGCACTGGCAGATGAACTAATTGCGGCGACCAAGGACACCGACAAAAACACCGAAGTTTTGTGCGATTTAGCGGCTGACTCCTATTCCTCGCATGTTGACACTATCCCTGCTGACATTCTTTCTACCAACGTGTTTTCTGACATAACTATAATTAACAGGTCGTTAAAACGTATTGATGTGGTAGAAGTAACGGTGCCTTTCGAATCTGTGAAAAGCTTTCGCAATGCTGAGTCAAGGAAAAGTAGCCTACAAACCGATCTTGCAGGATTAGGCTGGACAGAAAACAACATCATATAGCTGTGGGGTCTTTGGGAATGATTCCTGAAAGTACCAGCAGTAATGTAACGTGTTTGCTAAAACAAATATCTGGTTGCAAGTCAAGCACATCTTCGGTTATTTGTAAAAAAATGGCTAAAATTGCTGTTTGTTGTAGTTACGAAATTTTTAATAAGCGTTCGGATAAACAATGGCTTCCACCTAGCCCAACTAAGCTTTTCACGGTTTAACTAGTGCATATTAATTTTCATAATTAATAATTCATAACTTGTGAAAATTTTGTTTTTTTCTAAATTTTACGGAAGGCATAGTTTTAATGTGAAATGAAAGCCTGATAATCAAACCTGAAAAATTCTGATGTCTTCATAACTTTTTAATAAACTGTTAGTGTTTTGGTTTCTGCATGTGAAATATCCTCCTATTGCTGTATTAAAGGGTTTGCGAAAACCAAGTCACATCCACTGTTTGTTGAAGTCAGCTACGGGTCTCGTACTCACTGTGATCTCATTCTCGACGGCCAGCTCTCTGAGCGCTGTGTCTCTCTCGTTCTCACGCTGACTCGCTCCGTCTTATATTTTTCTTCTCTCTCTCCCATCAAGCGTGTGCAGTCAATGCAATCCGCCGTCGCAATCCAGCCAAAACGCCATGCCTACCCTCTTTCGAGCGAGTGCATGAGTCTGTATGTTTATTGATTATGTTCATTTTTTTATGTGGTTGGTGTGTGTTGCATTGTTGCGTGCCATACATCCCGCATAATTTGTATTGTGATCGTCCTTTCCGTACTCATAACCACTGTAATTTCTATATACTTTAAAGTTTTTCTAGAAAATACCAAAAAAAAAGATTGATGTGTAAAGTAAGTAGTGGAGAGCAAGCGGTCTTTTACCTTATTGTTGCTTCCGTTGCACGAGTTTTGTTTACAAAACTTTCGAAAAAGAATAAGTTATGCGTGCCTTTTCCCCTAATTTGTAATAGGGGTTTTTTGCCGCATAACAGCATACGGAACTCAATAAAGGTTGATATATATGAGGTGTAGAATGCATTGTCAGTGAACCCGTTTGAACGAAGCTGCAGGCCGCGGATGGCTGCGCGCAGACCTAGGGTATTTTCGCGTTCCTTAAACTTGTAAAAATACAGTACACGATGCCCATAAAAAAACGTTCAGCCTAAATTTCAGCGCAAAATTAATAGAAACTTGTGGGAAACAATTAACGGTTGCCCAAGGTGACCTCGCAGGCTGCATGTAAGATTGTAAGATTGTAAGATTTCGAGCTTATTGTTAGTGAATACCCAAGCTACCGCCAGTATTACAGAGCAACGTAGGTTAGTGAATGCCCAAGCTACCACCAGAATTGCAGAGCCGCTACCTGAGTGAATACGGTAAACGGGCCGCGGGTCGGCTTTTAGATATTTAGAAATTACATATAAATTAGACAGTTAAACCGAGCGATATTGAGATACTCAGATTTCTAAATATTTTTTATATTTTGAAACTCTGGAGACTCAGAAAATTAGAGGTAACGGCCCCGCTGCGCGGGGCCGAGTCGAAATATTTAGAAATTCTGGAAATGTAAAAGCTTTGCAGCCGACTTTGGATAAATTTACAGTTATTTTGAAATATTTAAACGCATTTAAAAATATCTTAAAGGTTTCAAGAATTTAAAAAAGTAAATTTAAAAGTTTGATGTAATTGACAATTTTAAATAACTATTGTTTAGGTTGCTAAGTTGCAAAACCTGTATTTGCTCATTCGAGACGTTCCCAGAATTTACTGGAAATTTCTATGAACTTTAAACGCTAAGTACTGAAAGTTTAAAAGGGTTTTTGAAAACGTTCCAGAAACCAAAATTTTTTTCCAAGCAGCATTTAGGAAGCTTTGGGAGATGCTGGATTTTATAAAACTATCAAAAGCTTCACAAACGGAATCTCGAATTAGGAGATGTTTTTCAAAACCTACAACCTTTAAGTACTAACAACCTTTAAGTACTTCAGCTTCTAAAAATTTTTTTAGACCTTCTCCAAAACTTAAGATTTTTTTAAATATAAAGGTAGGAACATTTGTGCGATGCTCTATTTTATAAAATCATCAACTTATTGAAAAAATCAATCTTGATTTAGGAGATAATTTTCAAAAAATAAGGACGTAAGGATATATGGATCTATTGATACTTCAACAACCATAATATAATAACTTTCTAGAAGCTAACAACATTTAAGTACTACAGCTTACGTACTACTGCCTTTAAGTACTGACAACCTTTAAGTACTACAACATCTAAGATTTTTTTAGACCTTCTCCAAAACTTAAGATTCTTTTAAAGATAAAGGTAGGAACATTTATCCGAAGCTCTATTTTATAAAATTAACAACTTATTAAAAAAGTCAATGTTGATTTAGGAGATAATTTCCAAAACTTAAAACCTTTAAGTACTAACAACCCTTAAGTACTACAACTTCTAAAAATTTTTTTAGACCTTCTCCAAAACTTAAGATTTTTTTAAAGATAAAGGTAAGAACGCTTGTGCGATGCTCTATTTTATAAAATTAATAACTTATTGAAAAAATCAACGCTGATTTATGAGATAATTTCCAAAAAATAAGGACGTAAGGATATATGAATGTATTGATAATATTATATCATATGATCAGTATGAGATGGGTGTGTCACAACTGTACAAATAAAACATAAACAGTAGTTGTAATAATTATTATGTACTCGTACATTGTACGTACACCGATATGAGACTTTAAACCGGCAAATCAGAATGGTATGGGCACTTGTAAATAAACTGTGCGACAGTCGATATATGCAGATTTTCGTTTTAGCAGCCGGTATATCCAGAAATGCTTTTCAGGCAACAATGGGGAAGAAGCTTCTCGAAACATGTAAACTGATTAATCTCTGCTCGTATGAGTATGGAATGCATCAGCCGACCGTGTTGAGAGTTCAGACCGGTCCTTCGCGCATGTATGCCATCCACTTGTTGTGTAAACTGCAGTCAACAGCGCAGCGCGTCTGCTGTTTCCATTTTGTAATTCAGGAGCCAGCAACTGATCATGCTGGTAAACACGCTCATTTTGTTCGCTTCCTGTTGACTGTAAATTCATTGTCAGTATCATGATTTAGGCTTGCTGTTTCCACTTTTCACAATTTCCTTCCAGCCTGAATGTGCTATAACGGGCTAGCACACAACGTGGCTAACGTAGAGAATAAAGCAAGCGTTTTTGTTGTAATTTTACACTCTGTGGTGAATAAGCCATGGATTCTCGTGTTTTCTCTCTAACACCCCGTCCATCGTCGTGTACAATTATGCCAATACATCTGCGTATTTGTTGACCAGAATTACTTCTAATAATTATGAGTATCCTATCATTACGCATTGGCATTACCGTGCAAATTGCCATTCCCTCACGACCCAGCACCTCCAACGCAGACTGGGCTGCAGACCGGCGCCGTGCCGAGCTACAGGACTCGATTGGTCCGCTGCAACCGGGATTTCCCTGCTTCCTGACCGACACCTGCCTGGGACGGGGTGGGCAAACGGCAGCCGGCGTGTATGTCGGAATAAATGGCGTCACGAAGGAATTTGTAGCGGTTAAACGGCTGCCTGCGGACAGCCAGCAGGTGGTAGACAGCACTCTGGCTGAATACCATCTTATAAAGAGCATACCGCATACCAATCTAGTGAGATATTTTGGACTACAGCTCAACGTATTTGCCGCTCTTCCCGGACTTCACATCGGACAGCGGGATGAGTTGTGGTTAATCATGGAGCTGTGTCAAAGTAAGTTCCATTGCGTCCAGTGGCAGTGGTGTGCAACAAATTTTGAGAACAAAATTGTAAGCTTTCGGTGGTATATGATAATATAGGTACATACTTATAAAAACGGTTTGAATTTAAACCTGGGCAAAACAACAAAGCTCAACAGTACAAGCATGCACCATCTTGGATGGATGCTTGATTTAAAACGATTAACAATTATGTCCCGGGTTTTTGCGCTTTCCTGTGTGCCCTTGCTTTTAAGGGAAATGGCCCGGTTCATGGTAGCAAATTCGTGTACATGGACGAAAAGTTTCACTTCCCAAACACTTCTTTGCTTTGTTTTAAGACATTTTGTAGCCTGACGATTTGTATACACTGAGGTGAAAACCGTTTGTGCACGCAACTTCCGGTTCGTGGCTTGCAGCTGTAAAACAATTCCAAAAAGTTTAAATGCATTTCGGTGTACGAGGCAAGCGACAACTCTTTCCCATCGCTTTAGTAAATTTTATCACTTTCCCTGCTGCATCTTACCCGTGTGCAGGCGCTCACGTGATACTTGATTTCAGCCGTTTCTCGTCGGTTTGCAGCTATAGTTGATTGTGCAAACTGATAAAGAATATAGAGAAGAGCACGGCAGGCGAGATTTTATCGCCGGCTCAGTAAGCGCTGATTACAAGGGATACGATATCAGTATCACGTGAGCGCCTGCCTGCACAGTGCACACGGGTAAGATGCAGCAGGGAAAGTGATAAAATTTACTAAAGCGATGGGAAAGAGTTGTCGCTTGCCTCGTACCAAAGTCTCGTCATCGATCAATCGATCTTCTTCAAATTTTGCGTGGAAGCCCACATATGCATGAAGATCGTTTTACACCGACCCACGGTTCTAGTCTTTTTTCAAATTTTAAAATAATTTTAAAATTTGAAAAAAATTGTGTAACTTTGATTTGGTGATCGTTTGTAACTTGGGTTTGATAAACGATCTTCGTACTTGCGTGTTTTTATGTGCGCAATTTAAAGCAGATCGGTTCATAGTGGGATTTTGGTACACCTAAACGCATTTAAACTTTCTGGAATTTTCTTATAGCCGTAACTCCCGAACCGGATGTTGCGTGCACAAACGGTTTTCACGTCTGTGTATACAAATCTTCTGGCTACAGAATGCCATAAAACAAAGCAAAAAAGTGTTTGGGAGTGCGCGAAAGCGAAAGTTTTCGTGCATGCACACGAATTTGGCACCATGTACCGGCCACTTCCCTTAAAGGCTCTGCTTAAATGCGTGTATTTAGCGCCAAGTGCCGCAAACGTCTCTTGTGGGTCACATGCTGTCTGCAGTATGAATTGTTTTTCTTTACCAGAACTATGTGTTGGCTATTAATAAAACGAGGAATTGTTGACATGCTAATGTATAAATCAAACTGCTTGTGTCAAGTGTGCTTCAAATAGATACAACTACGGATGCGGTTGGATGCGCAACAGCTGCAATGCTGTATGAACTGATAAGCTAGCCCAGGGTTGTACATGTAGCTTGAACAAAAACAAGGAAATTAATGCGTGAGCGTGAGGGAAGAAAGGAATGACTCATTGGCTAACCAGTGATGTGATCTACATATCTATAGTACAATGCTTTTTCTTTCTTTATTTGAATAGGTGTTAGAAGGTTTTGGCTATGAAGTTAGTGTATAGTGAAGTTGTGCGAATTTTGCTCGTGAAGTTGCGAAAATTTTGCATATCATATGCCAGCCGTCATTTTGTGTAGCCTAGCTTGAAGTTGTATGCGAATCCAGTTAACGGTCATTGGGTATATCAAATTATTGCTGCTTTAGCCTGGAAGCGAGTAAAGGTCAATATCTACCGTACTCAATTTACGTAGCAGACATGTCTAAATTCTCTTCGCGTAACGTTTGAATTTTTGAACTAGCTAATCAAAAGAAGTACGCACCATCAAGCCTGTCCTTTTCTTAGCCCAGTTTGTACTCTCATGTGAGACTTATTAAAGGTCCATGCACAGTTATCCGTACATTTAACTAAGTCCGTGTGCACGCACAAGCATTACAATGCGTATAAAGATATTGTATTTATACAAACAGCATCACAGTTTTTCAGGTGGGTGCATTGGTAATTTTTCAGGAGACAATCTAAAGGATTTGGCCAAGAGAAAACTGGCTTTTGAGGAAATAGTGGATATCGCTCAGCAAGTCCTCCGCGGTCTCCACCACTTGCACGTGAACGGGATTGTTCACCGTGACCTTAAGTGCCAAAATGTTCTAGTGGGCATGGACGGCACTATAAAGCTAGCGGATTTCGGTTTAATCAAGCAGTTAGAAGGGACCATGACACGGACCAATGAGTTGCAGCCCGATACGGGCACACTGCGCTACATGGCCCCCGAAGTAGTTCTCGAAGACGCCAACAGAGAGTACAAAATAGGTCGCCTAAGCGATATATGGAGCTTTGGATGTATGTTGCCGGAAATGCTGACCGGAAATGATCCCGAATATGTGATTGAATTTACCAACATCGCCAAGGCAGTCTTGCATATTATTCAAGGGAATGGTCCGCTGTTCCCGTCAGGACTATCCGATCGGTTCTCTCCAGAACAGATCCGGGTACTCCAACAGGTTTTTCGACGATGCATCGTCAAGGAGCCGGATAATCGGCCCCACGCAATAGACTTGCTCAATTTTTTCGAAAGCATTTCTTCACGAGCGAAGCCGGTAAGATAGGTTTACCGCACTTCCGCCCGTTTCAACTTTTGCATCAACGGATTACTTGCGCATATAGATCTTGAACAACTGGTCATCCCCGTATTTCAGTTTCCTGAAGACGCAAAAATTAGCAAATTAACTGGGTGACAAACTCCTGAATCTGCATTTTGTTTTATGCATAAATGCAAATTTACAAGTTTATCCTCATTTTTTACTCATCAGTTACGCAGTTCCAATAACGTACGTTTTGTGCCGGTACAGAGACAGCCTATCTGGATTCTGAAACCCAGTTATTTTTATTAATTTTTGTACCTTGAACAAATAAGAAACAAGAAGATTCAGTTGTTCAAGATGTACTCGTATAGCGCAGGAGATCCGTTGTTGAGAAAAGTAGAAGTTGCAGCTTAATAATAATAATTATCATGGTGTCTGTGATATTGATCACTGCACAGCAGACAGCTGACGTGGATGAGTTGGCCCAGGCAGTGCGTTCGTGGAATATAAACGGCAACACTCGGCACTGGGCGTCGCAGTCAGCTTCTTTCGATGGCGGCGGCGGCGGTGGAATTCTGGGTAGTGTGCGGAAACTGCTGAGAAATGCCGGCAGAATGAAAATCATCCCTGTTACCGAGCGAGAAGTCGCCAAGTAAGTTGAGTCGAAGTAACTCTGTGCTCAGTCATTTCTGCAACCATATCGGTTTCTTCATTGCTTTTTAAACGCAGATTCCGGTATCTACCATTTAAATACCCGCGTTACATTATGGTTCTTACAAACGACCCAAAAACGTACGTACAGACACTAATCACGGTACCCTGAAAGTCGGTCAAATTACGCACGATTTTTCAACCTACATAGGTTCATTAGGCAGTTCATCAATGAGCATTATGATCTGGATGAAGCAAATAACCGCATTCCTTTCGGCATTCTTCTGGAGTCAGATGATAGAGACCTCGTGCCACCGGAAAGCAGAATGAAGTTCGTACAGCATACATTAAGCGATTGCTTCGGTTTTCCGGTACAGATATCTGTTGATGCAGTGCTCGCACGGGTACGCTGGAAAGCACACAGGATCTATCGTTTCACACGCTGATCGTATGGCCCAATGGCGCGGCGTGTCGCCGGGACATGTGGACCACGAAGGATCAGCTGGAACGTGTGTTTTCCGTTTCGGCCGTTCAAGTAATCGTTGTTGGCCCAGTGCTGACCAAAGAATTTCAGGTTGGCTGACTGCTTTACTGGGCTTGCTAGAAATATAGCCTGTTTTCGTACAGAAAGCACGTACCCACTGGAAAGGTTTGGTTCGAGATGCGGAGAATGTTGGACGCCTTATTGGATCGCCGCCATCCGTTGCCTGTCGCAGTGCCTAATTGTCGTCGATTGTCTCGCCTTAGTATGTAATCTCATTGTACCGAATTATGATAGTTTTCTTAAGAAATCATGTTGCATTCCCATTTCCCAAACAAGTTTTTCATTTACTGGCATACTGCTCATAGATCGCATTAATTTTCGCATCAAACCTTGACTGCAGCATACCAGCGCTCCTTTTTGAATCCCAGCATCATAAACACTGTACTTTGTTTTTATACCAATTTTTTATCGTTATCACTTGTGAGGAGGAGTGGCCTCTCCGTTCACCCGCGCACAGGCGGCTGCTAGGTTGTTTTGCTGTTTTTGCCGTGTTTTTCTCCATCTACCAGATTCTAAATCTGGTAGATTCTTTAGTTGCTAGATTTCGTCGTCTGAGTTGGATGCTTATTCCTTTTTGCCCCGCAGCAAGGTGCTGCGATGGCCTTTGATGTGTTGTACGTGAGAAAGATAAAGTGTGCAGTGTGTTGGCGTTCTGTTTCCGTTTCTGTTCGCGCACAGGGATGAACTAGCCGTTCATCCCCTGTTAGAGGCTTATGGCATTCAAGTGGTCTTTTTGCCGCATCAGCGATTGTGCCGACACACTCAAAAAATAGTCATGACTGATAAGAATGTTTAGCGCCTTTTTTCAGGGCTAAGGCCAAATACGCATAACATACAAGTACACAGCCCGGCTACCGAATAACACGTGCAGTACCTCAATATACAATAGTATTACTTAAGGGAAATGGCCCGGTACATAGCGTCAAAAATGGGATACATGCGCTAAAACTTCGCTTGCGCGCACTCCGAATCATTATTTTGTAATACTTTATGTCATTCTAAAGCTAAATGATTTGTATACATTGTTCTGAAAACCGTTCGCGCGCGCAACATCCGGTTGCTGAGATATGGTGTATTAAAATGGGCGAAAAGTTTAAATGCATTGTTGTGTACCAAAAGTCTGGTTATTATCCGATCTTCTTGAAACTTTGCTGTAAAAGGCACATGGCTATAAAGTCGAAAGTGAACCAATTTCAGGTCCATAGCACTTTCCCATAATTTTAAAATGAATTTTAAAATTTTTGAAATTCATTTTAAAATCGGAAAAAATGCTATGGATCTGATATTGGTTCACTTTCAACTTCATGGTCATGTGCCTTTACAGCAAAGTTTCAAGAAGATCGGATAATAACCAGACTTTTGGTACACAACAATGCATTTAAACTTTTCGCCCATTTTAATACACTATATCTCAGCAACCGGATGTTGCGCGCGCAGACGGTTTTCAGAACAATGTATACAAATCATTTAGCTTTAGAATGACATAAAGTATTACAAAATAATGATTCGGAGTGCACGCAAGCGAAAGTTTTAGTGTATGTATCCCATTTTTGACACTATGTACCGGGCCATTTTCCTTAACAGATACAATTACTATTATTATTATTATTATTATTATTATCTTCCTGGAGCAGACAACCCATTCATGGGACTTCGACAATGACATTACAGGTGTTAAAATGACATTGCTTTGTCTGGTCGAAAACCAAAATAAAAAGAAACAAGAAAGATCAAAACAGGCTATCTAACTAGCACTTCGAAGTCCAACACCTTTAAAGCAAACTTAAAAAACCCAACAGTTTCCGAGTTTAAAATTTCCGCATTAACCTTCTGCACGTGTTCAAGCAGCTGTTTCAGTCGTACAGCGAAAGTGGACTCGCCGATCTTCTTCTTCACTTTCGTGTCAACACGGTTACCAATCCGCAGGTTGTAGTGTTGTTTCATATCGCGGAAGTTCACGAGTCGAGACAGATAATCCGGCACAGGAAATTTGCTTTTGTTCCAGATTTTAAAAAGCCACACCGCTTCGCTCTGCTTCCATCGATGGAGGATGGGAGTGATTCCCAGTTCCTGGTACAAGGTCCGCTTGAAAGGGCCTTTGTATCCAGTCATGGCTCGCAGTGCTTTGCGCTGTAGTTTAGCCAGTCCTTCCTTCAGTGCCGCAGACGCCGGCGCCCACACAGTTGAACAATAGTCCAAGTGTGACTGGACGCAGGCATGATAAAGGCTCCGAAGTTAAGACCGACCTAGCCCTTCCTTTGCCCGATTAATCATGGATATCCCGTAGTTCGCATTCTTCTCGACTCTCGCGAAGTGCTTGCTCCATTTAAGGTGCTGATCGATGTCTACTCCAAGGTAGCGTACGCACTTTTCAACTTCCAGTTTCTGTTCATTAAGTTTCACGGACGGTTGAGATTTATCTCTGTGCTGTTCTGAACAAATGTACATTAGCTTGCACTTTCGTTCATTCAAACACAAGGAATTTTCTTCGAACCAGGAAGTTATTCGACCAAGCGCATGGTCAATTTTCTCCCTGGCGGCGGCTTTCGTCTTTTCAGTAGCATAGGCAATTGTATCATCCGCAAAGCATTCAAGACTGCAGTCGCCGATATCGATGTTCAAAAGCCCGTTTATGTACAGGGTAAACAAAATTGGCCCCAGGACAGTACCCTGAGGCACGCCCGATAGTAATGGTAGCCAACTGGATACTTTTGTCGATGAACGTACACGCTGCACGCGGCCGGTCAGGTAGCTAAAAAACCACTGTAGCACTGTTCCCTTTATGCCGTAGTCAAGAAGCTTGGCTAACAGTTTTTTGTGCGAAACAGAATCAAATGCTTTTTTAAGATCAAGAAAACAGACTGCTGTGACACGACCGGCGTCCATGTTTTTGCGCCAGTCTTCCGTCACTTTCAGTAAAAGGGTCTCACATGAATGGCCATTGCGGAATCCGGACTGGTGTTCGGAAAGCATCTTGTGCGCTTTGACCGCATGCACCAGCTGCAACTGCACAACCTTTTCAAACACCTTTGACAAGTTACTCAGCAAGGAAATCGGCCGAAAGTCATCTGGTGTAGTCGGGCTGTCTGATTTTGGAAGTGCAGTCACATCCGCCTGTTTAAAAATCTCCGGATAAATGCCACGTGACGGAGAGATCAGTACGATAGGAATAATTACCGTAAATAATCTATCCTACCGACCTACTCAACGACAGAGTATGAGCTAATAATCTCAATGTGGCATAGCTAAGCCTAAGAATCTACGCGAAGCGAGAACTGCATCTCCGACGATATTTAATTAGAAACTCCGAAACTGCCAAAACTCGTAATGAGAGAACTGATCATGTAAAATACTGCCACTCACGGACTTATATAGACACGGCGCATCCGTGTAGAAACAACCAAAAGTAAATCCGAACACAAAAGAGAAAGATCGAGAAAGTACAGCGAATAATAGAAAGTACGAGTCAAGCCGTCACTTTACGTACTGTATTGTCGAGTCAACTTGCCACCTTTTTTTACAGTGAGTCGTATCCGATTAGCATATAACTCACTGTAAGAAAAGGTGGCAAGTTGACTCGACAATACAGTACTGTACTGCTATATTCCGTCACACGCGCCAGCGACAGGTTAACCATTTTTGTCAGTGGTTCGGAAATCAGTGGTACCATCAATGGTATCATTCGGTTGGGCAACCCGTTTGGTCCGGTACTTTTCTTTTTAACAGCAATCTGGCGTAGAATGGATAAGATAACATCACACGACACAGGTTCGAAACTGGAGAAGACTTCATCAGCACAACCGCCCACAGGTGGCGTCGTAGGGGCAGTATGGTCGTTTCCGTGCAGGCCTTGTGTAACGAAGTGTCTGTTTTGAGACTCAGGGTCTAGTGGTTCCGCAGTGTGTTTTTTAGACTTCCGAAGAAGTCTGTTTAACTCCTGCCACACTTTTTTCCCTTGGCGTTTGTTTTCATCAAAATATTTTCGTTTGGACTCGGCAATAGATTTACGTACGGCATTCTTTAGCAATTAGTACTGTTCAGCAAACGTCGAAAATTAGGGAGTTCCACGTGACTGACACTTACGGCGGTAGGCGTCGTCTTTGTTTTTGATTAAGGTTTTCACTTCCGAGTTCATCCAGGGGGGTTCTGTGCGCCGGACCCTCCGAGATCTCTTTGGGAAACATTCATCCACAACTTGGGTTAGGTCCGCAACGAAACTGCCGATAACGGAGCTCACGTCTTCACTATCGATAACTGCGTACTTTTCCGCCACCTGCGAAACTAACTGCAGAAATTTTTCTTCTGGCGTATGGCTCCACAAGCGAAAACAAACGGTCTCGTGGGTAGGAACGGCAGCTTTATAGTTAGCTTTCGCAAAACACAAACGATGATCTGAGTAATACACGTCCTCGGCTGGGCAAGCGGAATAGTCACTTGCAGGGGAACACAACATAATATCAATCTTCGTCGCGCTACATGAAACTAGGCCACTTTTCGTTGAACGGTGAGCCACACGGGTGGGCCCCACGACTTTATCCACGAGATCAAAGTTATCCATTAAGCGATGAATATGACGATAGTAAGGCGAAAAAGCATTAGAAATATCAATATTGATATCCCCAGAAATCACAAAATCACAATCCGAGTGCTTCGTTAAAACTTCGTCCACGTGATTAAACAAAAACTCTGTATCAAAGGCGTTAGAATCAGGCGACCTGTATAACAGTCCCAAAAGTACCTTACGTATCCCGAACCGCAGTTTTAGCCACAGGGTTTCGCAATGGGTGTTTGTCTCCGAGCGCGAAACTTCTTCAGATGGGATATGCGAAGGTACATAAACTAGGAGGCCTCCACCCTTTGCTTTACCCCAAGCTTTACTGCGGTCCTTTCGATACAAAGCATAATTGCGAATCCGATACAGATCATCAGGTTTAGCAGAATTGAGATGAGTTTCAGAGATACAAAATATTTTAGAACAATTATCGTCAGATTCCAGGAGATTTTCGATGAGATCAAACTTAGAATCCGAGAAACCCTGAATATTAAGGTGCTGATACGTGACGCTGGAGAGCTTGGAACGTTTTTTCTTAGCCATTTTCGAATTTCGACTTAACTCTGTAGAAACTATATATCAGAAGATTCCTTACTTAAAACTGAAAATTTCTATACAAATACCAAGCCATAAAAGTTTCTACAGAAGATGTAAAGAGGGAAAAAGCATGGCTGGCCTGGTGGAGCTAAATTCCACCAGCCAGCCGGAAGCAGAGAATCCCGTCACCGGGGAACAGTATGCGGCTAAACTTTTGCCTGCGGACGACTGGAAGGTGATTAATGACACCGTCGCTGAATTCCACCATATAGGCAATAAACACCATATAAATTTAGTGAAATATCATGGCATTAAGCTCAATATAGCTGTTCCCGGACGTGCTATGGGGACACAGGATGAGCTGTGGTTAATCATGGAGCTTTGCGAAGGTAAAATGCACTTCTACATTAAAAATTCTGCTCAATACAAAATTTTCAGTATGAGAATGGCGACTTGACAAACGTACCGAGCGTCGACAGTCCATATTATCGATATCGTGCGATTCGATTATTGTGCATTGCTTATTGTTTTATGAATTTACTTTTGCGGTTTGCATATTTTGTAATTACAGTTTTACGTACACGTTTTTTCTGAAAAGCCACCTCATTATTTGTGCGCATCGCATTATATGTATAATATGCATTCAAATATGAAAATTTTATATATGAATGGATAGCATTGTTCATTGCCCACCAGCTCGGATCGCAAACATAATATGTTTAACGCCATAGCTTATTCTGTACGAGTATTAGAGAGCGCAATTTAAGCTTTTTACCGAGGCGGCAATTTTCAGTAGCAGCATTGTACATGCATTTTTTGCCTGAATTCAGTAAAATAATGTGCAAAAATGCCGTTGAATGTGTGCAAAAGCGAAAGTTTTAGCTCATGACTCTGACCGAGTTATTATTTTTCACAACTTAGCTTATGTTTTCCTACTTTTGCCGTTTCTACTTTGAACTACGATTCACACTGATAAACGTAATAAACGGCCTTAGTTGGTGCCGCTCACGCCACACGGCATGGTTTATAGGCATAATTCATAACGACCTCTTTATACTGCCGTAAACAATCATAGGAGTACATTGTTATTATGTTCATGAGCCGTTCATTCGCGACAGTACTGCCGAATTGAACTACGATTTCTTGTACTATTAATTTTATTGTGTTTAATTACTCGGCGAGGAACTCGTACGGATAAAGGCTTTAAGGCTATCACCGGCAGACAGGCGGCTGTATGCATCGAAACAGCATCGTTGCATTTGCAATCGGTAAATATCTACGATATTCATGACTGTATATCCATTGACATTAATTTGCAAAAGCAAGCATGGTGTTAAAATACAGAGTGAGTCAGTGACACACATGCAGCACTCGTACACAAAATGCTGATGCTGCAGACTGATTTTCAGTTGTTTGTTTTATCAATAATTTACCGCTATCGCACTGGCCAATCAGATATGGGCACTTGTAGATAAGCCATACGGGCCGGTAGATGCAGGGTTTAATACCTTAGTCCCGAAGAGAAGTGTTTTCCGGTAGTTTGTGTAGTGGAAGTTTCTCGAAATGTCTAGTAACTTGTCATGGCCTGGATTCGCATGTAATGCATCAGCCGACCATGTGAGACCAATTGCGCGTGCCATATACTTGTTAACAGTTAGCTGCTGATAGCGCGTCTACTGTTTCGGTATTGTGGCTTTTCGGCCTACTCAGCAGCCAACGTTGAAATATGTTGGTGAGTGCACTGCGGAGTACCTGTACCGATTTTTCTTTTACTTGTGCACACTGCACAGTACAGCAGCTTAGCAGTTCATAAGCATCTGACATGCTGTGCTGTGAATCCAGTTTTAAATTTTTATTTTCAGTTCTGAGCGTGCTAAGCATTAGCACGGGACGTGGATATGTTGCGAAATAATGGAGCAGTGTAGTCCACGTCGATAAGCGGCTGCTGGGAAGGTCCAGTCCGATACGCCATGGACGCTCGCGTTTCCACGCTAACATTACGTCAAACATCGCATGCGATTATTATGCCAGCAATGTTATTTATTTGTGCCACCTGATGTTATTAATTTTATACCAGCAATGTTAGTTATTTGAATCACATCCAATTACGATGAGTACTCGTATCCAACCATTACGCAATACCATGCAAGTGGCCATTCCTTCACGACCAAGCAGCACCTGCACCACAGCGGTGGATGCTTTCGATAAAGATCACCACCGCGCCGAGCTGAAGAAATTAATTAATCCGCTGCATCCCGGATTTCCCTGCGTCTTGACACAAGCATATTTGGGACGTGGTGGACAGACGGTAGCAGGAGTGTACGTTGCCGAGAATCCCGTCACCGGGGAACAGTATGCGGCTAAACTTTTGCCTGCGGACGACTGGAAGGTGATTAATGACACCGTCGCTGAATTCCACCATATAGGCAATAAACACCATATAAATTTAGTGAAATATCATGGCATTAAGCTCAATATAGCTGTTCCCGGACGTGCTATGGGGACACAGGATGAGCTGTGGTTAATCATGGAGCTTTGCGAAGGTAAAATGCACTTCTACATTAAAAATTCTGCTCAATACAAAATTTTCAGTATGAGAATGGCGACTTGACAAACGTACCGAGCGTCGACAGTCCATATTATCGATATCGTGCGATTCGATTATTGTGCATTGCTTATTGTTTAATGAATCTACTTTTGCGGTTTGCATATTTTGTAATTACAGTTTTACGTACACGTTTTTTCTGAAAAGCCACCTCATTATTTGTGCGCATCGCATTATATGTATAATATGCATTCAAATATGAAAATTTTATATATGAATGGATAGCATTTGTGTAATGTGTATCGTTCAATAATATGACGAATGTACTCGTACGAAGCACATAAATATACCGGACACTTTTGCAGAATACACCTTAAGAGAGCTGGCCAAGAGAAAACTGGCTTTTGAGAGAATAGTGGATATCGCTCAACAAATCCTCCGCGGTCTCCACCACTTGCACGTGAACAAGATTGTTCACCGTGACCTTAAGTGCCAAAACGTCCTAGTGGGCCTGGATGGCACTATAAAGCTAGCGGACTTCGGGCTGATCAAGAAACTAGAAGGGACCATGACCAAGACCAAGGAATTGCCAGCTGACAAGGGGACATACCTGTACATGGCCCCGGAAGTATTTGCGCCCACTGCAGAATGCAAGATAGGCCGGAAAAGTGACATCTGGAGCTTTGGGTGCCTGTTGAGCGAAATGATGACAGGAGATCTGCCCAAATATGCGATGAACTTTACAAATGATGCGCAGATTGTGTATCACATTGGTGTTGAGAAAAAAGGTCCTCTTTTTCCAGCGGAGAACCTGCTGCATCGCTTCTCCTCAGACCAGATTCAGTTTCTGGAACAGATATTTTGGCAGTGCACTGCCACGGAGCCGCGTGAGCGGCCCCACGCCTCAGACTTACTCAAATATTTCGAAACTGGCATTGTCGCAGCCAAACCGGTACGATCAGCTATTAATTTTAGTGAGTGTTGTACGAAGCACCATAATTATCGGTACTGCACAGTGCAGTCATATTTATTAATTATTACTACTTCAAGTAGATACTTTATGCACCTTAATGCATTCATAATTAAATAACTTAGATAAAGATTTGATATTTCTTTCTACATAGAAAGCTGATGTGGATGCTTTGGCCCGTGCGCTTCATTCGTGGGATATCAGCAATGACAACCGACGCACCGTGACGCAATCATTATCCTTCGACGGTGGCGGTGGACTATTGAGCAGCGCGCGATCGCTGTTGGCGGATGCCCGCCGAATGAAGGAAAATCCATTTCCCGAGCAAGATGTGGCCAAGTTAGTTTCAGCTGATTCTTTACAGTAATTGCAAAAGTTCGTTGTAATTACTTATAATTAAACGTAGGTTTCGCTGTTTGCCGTTTGAGCACGACCGCTACATCATCGTTCATACAAAGGACGCGAAAACGTACGCATACCACAATTGAATTCCGTTAGCCTCTTCTATTTCTCATAATCTTTTTTACCCATATAGGTTCATCTCGCAGTTCACCAGCACGCAACGTAACCCGACATCCGGCCGCATCCCTGTCGGTATTTTGGTGGAATCGTTAGACAGTGACCTTTTACAACACGCAGACAGAGCAGAGTAAGGTTTAAACACATCTAACATATATAAAAATGGGCTGGTACTTTATTTGTCGCTACAGAACCGAAATTCGTATGGGTACGCTGGATATCATGAAAGGTCACGCGTTCGACACAATGTTCGTTTGGCCCAACGGGGCTCGTCGCGAAGACATGTGGACCAGGAAGGATCAGTTGGAAGGGGCGTTTTCTCTTTCGGCCGTTCAACTGATCGTGGTCGGTCCAGTGCTGAACAGGGAATTTCAGGTACAGTACGCTCTAAGTCTGCAGCTATTGCAAAAGTCGGTGCTCTCGATCTTTATAGCTCTTTTTTTCTATATACAGCAAGCACGTAGCCGATGGAAACAGCTGATAGACGATGCCAAGGAGGCGAAACGCTTAGCCGGATTGCCGCCATCCGCCACCTGTCGCAGCGGATAATTGTCGCTGTAACTGTCTCGCCTTAGTATAACTAACCTCATTGTATCGAATTTCGATAGTTTTCCGAATTGGTCATGTGGAATGTTGCATTCCCGTACAAATCATACCAATTTTTACCTTTTTTATTTTATTTCATCGTTCTTCCTGTCGTTTTCGTTCGACTGGTTATCCGCATTACTTTTCGCATCAAACCACCATTACACATAGCTGGCCAGTTGTCAGCGCCAAAGTTTCAATCCAATGTCATCCTAGTGGTCTTCCTGCTGCAATTACAGCATTATAAAGTTGCAGCGGCCCGTCAAATTTTGTATCGCAATGACTAATGTTCAAGTGGGTCTTTGTGCCGAGTAAGTAATTGTTGAGTGATATACACGCAACAGTCATGACTAATGACTACTCGAGTAGTGAATATTATGTTTAGCGCCTTTTTTCAGGGTCAAAGCCGGACATGCAGAAAATAAATGCATAGCACGTAATAAACTTCATTTAACAGATGCTGTCTCCTGTATCTACCATATCTTAACGCCCATAACAATGCTGTAGTGAGGACCCTAATTTTTTACCGCGAATGCCGTTTACGCAGCGGTATTGTGCGGTCTGAAGTCTGTACATAAATCATTTCACTACATCCATTAAAGAGTCTGTTAAATATGTATGTAGCTAGATGTGCGCGAAAGTAAAGTTTTGACGGATAACTTCCGGCCGAGGCATTACATACTTTCAGCGCCTCGGAAATTTTCTCCGTTTGTACTTGTACAAGAATTGATTAATGAAGGTGAATGCACGGCGGTAGTTAGTGCGGATCACGTGACGCGTCGTTCTCTGAATATATTAATTTTCATTACGCCACTCGGTGCACTGCCGTAAACACTCACGCAAGTATTATTACTGATGCTCTGAAACCGTTGGTCCGTGGTGGCAGTGAAATGCCAAATCCAAGTACGCAATCGTACTGTACACTGAATGCTTTACTCTACACAACTAAATGAACTGGTACTATGCTTGCCTATGAACTGGTACTATGCTTTACTGTATGAACTGCTACTTGTAGATGTTACCGGCTTTTAGCGGCTGTATGAGGTGCTACAATGCACAGTACAGCATCGCTGCAAAAGTTCAAATGTCTGTCCGCTACAAATACCCAGATCCTGCCAAAACAAGCATGGTGGTAAAGTATACAGAGTGACACACATCCAGCATTCGTACACAAAGTGCTGATACGGCAGCCTCAAGACTAATTAATTCTGCCATTATTTATTTTAATAATTCTGTACCGATATCGCACTGGCCAATCAGATACGGACACTTGTAGATAAGCTTCACGGTTGCCGGTAGATGCAGGGCTGAATAGTGAATACCTTAGTCTCGAAAAGAAGACTGTTTTCCGGCAATATGTAGTAGAAGCTTCTGGAAATGTCTAGTAATCGGTCATGGTTCGGATTCGAGTGGAATGCATCAGCCGATCATGTGAGAACAAACTGCTCGCGTGCCATATACTTGTTAACAGTTACTTGTAGCTGCTGATAGCGCGTCTACTGTTTCCGTATTTTGACTTTTCGGCCTAGTCAGCAGCCGGCGTGGAGCATGTTGGTAAACACACTATGGAGTACTTGTACCGATTTTCTTCACATGCGCGTACAGTACAGCTGCTGAGCAGCATCTGATACTGTATGCTGTGCTCGGTGTGCTGCTTGCTGAACCAACTTTTAAATTTTATTTTCTTCTGAGCGTGCTAAGCCATTAGCACGAGACGTGGATATGTTGAGAATAATGGAACAGTGTAGTGACTGTAGTCCACATCGATAAGCAGCTGCTGTGGAGGTCCATTTAGATAAGCCATGGATGCTCGGGTTTCCACTCTAACACCACGTTGACCATCGCATGCGATTATTATACCACCAAAGTTTCTTATTTGTGCCACCTGCTACAATTATTCGCTTAACCAGAATTACTGCCAATTACGATGAGTACTTGTATACGTCGATCGTCGCATGCGATTAATTTTAGTATGCCACCCATGTTGTTTAGTTGTGCCACCGATGCTAATTATTTGTTAAATCAGTAACACTTTCCATTACAATGAGCACTCGTACCAAACCATTACGCAACACCACGCATGTTGCCATTCCTTCACGACCGAGAACCTCCACGAAAGCGATGGATGCTTGGGATAAAGATCATCACCACGCCGAGCTGAAGGAACTACTTCGTCCGCTGCATCCCGGATTTATCTGCGTCCTGACCAAGACATTTTTGGGATGTGGTGGACAGACAGTAGTCGGGGTGTACGTTGCAGAGAATCTGGCAACCGGGGAGAAGTATGCGGCGAAACGCTTACCAGCAGATGATCCGAAAGTGGTGGAAGACACCATTACAGAATACCGCCTTATACACAATATACAGCATCCGAATTTAGTTAGATATTATGGAATTGAGCTTAATATAACTGTCCCCGGGCCATATGTCATGGGACCACGGGATGAGCTGTGGTTAATCATGGAGCTTTGCGAAGGTACTACTATTATTATGAACTCTACTACCACTTACCAGTTAGTATTCTACTGCATAAAATTTTGGATACGAGTACGTACGTACGACTTTACAAACGCACCGAGTAAAATACTCACTTCCTTACAGACCACACTACTTTCCGTATTACTTATTATTTATATCATAATACTGTATTAAGGGATTTGAATATTGCACGCTGAGAGTTTATATTTCAATAAGCACATCAATGAAGCACATTATCGCACGCTTATTAGTTATTTCCCCTTTTAACAATAACAATAAAGTCGTTTAGAAAAGACCCGAGGCGCATAGCTCGTAATTTACGGTAATACATAAGACAAACGTAAACAGTATATTATTATTGACCTTTGCAGATTACACCTTAAGAGATATGGCCAAGAGAAATCTAAGTTTTGAGAAGATAGTGGATATCGCTCAGCAAGTCCTCCGCGGTCTCCACCATCTACACGAGAGAAAAATTGTTCACCGTGACCTCAAGTGCCAAAATGTCCTAGTGGGCCTGGATGGCACTATAAAGCTGGCGGATTTCGGGCTGATCAAGAAACTAGAAGGTACCATGACTAAGACCAATGAGCTACAGCCCGATACGGGTACGCTGCGCTACATGGCTCCCGAAGTACTCGATGGCACCAGCGGAGAGTACAAAATAGGCCGCCGAAGCGACATTTGGAGCTTCGGATGTATGCTGCCGGAAATGCTGACCGGGAAGGCTCCCGAATATGCCGTTGAATTTACCAACGTCGGCAAGGCAGCCATGCATATTATCGAAGGGAATGGTCCGCTGTTCCCGTCAGGACTATCCGATCGGTTCTCTCCAGAACAGATCCGGGTACTCCAACAGGTTTTTCGACGATGCATCGTCAAGGAGCCGACTAATCGGCCCCACGCAACAGACCTACTCAAAGATTTCGAAGGGGACTTTTTACAACTGAAGCCGGTAAGATGAATTACGATAAATACAAATAGCAGGCAGCAGCAGTTAATATTTCCATGTATTATTTACGAGTTAGTACTAGGTACAAAATATGCTACGGCGGCTACGCTGATCAGCTTTTCTATAGTCGACCCAGGGCTATGTTGATTTTATTTCGTTTTGTTATTTTTACTATCGTGTTCCCGCTTTTTTAGATATGCAGAATTGATGTTTACTGCATTCGCCTTCCAGTTTAATTAATTTTACCGTTAATTCTTGTTAGAGAACCGACGTGGATGAGCTAACCCGCGCGTTGGATTCGTTTGTTATCAGCAACGACAATCGTCGCCCCGTGACGCAGCCAACATCTTTTGATGGTGGCGGCGACCTTTTGTGCAGCGCGCGGTCGCTTCTGATGGATGCCAGCAGAATGAAGGACAATCCCTTTCCCAAACGAGAAGTGGCTAAGTAATTCTTTCCGCTTCCTCATCTTGACTGCGGCAGTTTTCTGATTTATACTGGCATTAAACTGCAGGTTCCGCTGGCTACCGTTTGGGTTCGACCGCTACATCATGGTACATACAAAGGACGCAAAAACGTATGCAAAATCTCTTAAGAAAACCGTAGCGTTTGCTTCTGTGATTGTCAACTGTTGTTTCTTCATCCCACAGATTCATCTCACAGTTCATCAGTGGGCAGCGTAATCCACTATCCAGCCGCGTTTCTGTCGGGATTCTGGTGGAGTCGTTGGACAGTGACCTTACGCTGTATGCACAAAGAGCAAAGTAAGGCTAAGAATGTTTAATGATAATATGTTTAAAATTTCGTCATTTTAATTAGTGTACAAGCTTGTCCCGTAATTTCCATCGCATCAGAACAGCGATCATTACAAATTTACGTGTTGCGCGTAAATCCGTACTACGGCGCGCCACGCCACACTGTTTAAACACGTGACCTGCATTTGGCTGGCTGGTGGCTTGGTACACGCCATATAACTCAATGAGAATAACAGTAACTCCCTGGCGTAAGATGGCTAAAAACGGTCGGTGTGGTAATGGACAATCTAACTACGGAGCGGATTTAGGCAATCAGATAAGCGTAGTGACGTGGCCATCGTTTCAAGCGCAAATTTCGCGCTAGCTGTACCTTTACGATGGAAATTACGGGACAAGCTTGTAAACATGTGAAAGCATACTGATATGTGCATTGGCTGTTGGCCTGTTGCCTAATAAAAATCATTATATGAAGACAGAAAAATTGCGTATAAAAATGATCACGTGTGATTGCAGAATTCACGCGGGTACACTGGATGCGATGAAAGGTCACGCGTTGGACACATTGTTCGTGTGGCCCAACGGCGCGGCTCGCCGCGAGGATATGTGGACCATCAAAGATCAGTTAGTCAGGGTCTTCTCTTTTTCCGCCGCGCAGCTGATCATCGTTGGATCATTGGCATCGCCAGAATTTTTGGTATGTTGGACTTGATATCATGCTATTACGTTGGCTGTCGTATTATCTTGCCGCTGTTTTTTGTGCAGAAAGCACGGAGTCGATGGAAAGATCTGGTGCAGGACGCCAAAGATGCTCAGCGTCTTGTCGGAGCACCTCCGTTTGTCGCCCACCGAAGCGCATAACCGTCCATTTGTCTACTATTATTGACGAACCGAACCATGGTTGTCTCATAGATCCTTGAACAATACTATCCTCCTTCGTACTTTGTTAAAGTTTATCTAAAAGAATAATTATTGTCTTCTCCGAATGTTTTTACTGGGTTACTCCTCAGGATCAAAAAGGTTTCCGTACAACACTTCTACACGTAGTACACTTTGACAAGTCTTCTACCAATACTGGCAATTTCCTGTACATGCTGCGCGTCCACGCATTAACGTAATGCTGATCCGCTGTTTCAAAAAATGGGTAGATCGCTTCCCTTGTGCCTTCCCAAGAAGCGTTTTTCCAGTAACATTAGTTCTAGCCTATGCCCTATGGTTGATGTTGTATCTGCATAACTGAGTCGTGACAGTTGACAATATTTAATACACCAAAAAAACTTTGCTGAAGTACAGATTATATAACTAACAGCCACGCTAGTTCTTTGCGGAAATTTTATTTAGTCCTGGGATCGCCTTGAAACAAGCAGACGAGAGATGAGTGCCGACTGCCGAGTGATCTAGCGACGAGCAAAAATTATACTGGCTTGACCAGTACAATTTGGAAAATGCCAAACATAACATTGTTCACGTCCTGTTATCCGCTAGCGCGCCCAGAATAGCAGCAACACCGTTGGCACTGCAGTCACATCCGGTTGCCTTATCACGGCAGTTGGCTGGTGTCCGGGGATTGACCAGCAAACACCACGATCTGTCGGTGCAGCGCTCGGTGCACAGCCAGTCTAGGAATAGACACTTATAAGTAAACACTTAACCCTGAATTTCTTGAGGATCGCATTACTGTATTTTAGTTCTTGCTGCGTATGGCCACGTTAGCACGGCATAAATTGATGTACATTATACCCATTACCAGACATGCGTTTTGTAAAAATCGGGATCGGGTCTATCGTTTCTTTAACAGTCAAAACAGCGTTCACAATCACAAAAACTTAACGAGAGAACCGAGAGAAATACGTTTAATGCGACGAATACCCTACCGATCTTTCCCAATCCGTCAACAATTGTGCCAAATGCGCTTGTTCCTGTAATAAATACAACGTGAACTGCCTAATCAAACAGTATTGTAAACAGAGGATTATCAGAAAGCCATTCACACAACCGAGAAAGATGCCTCGGCTGATACGACAATTAATTTATTAATTATCAGAATTTTAACTTAATGTTACCAGTCGTTGCTGCTGGCAAAGTGACTGCTAGGGTTGTCACAATCGGATTAGTAACAGAAACCGGCGTTGATGTGAAAGCGTCCTTGGTGTCGCACACGATTAGCGGTAGTTCCACTTTTTCCAAATTGTCATCGATGCAGCCGTACGCTCGCTGTATCTTCTGCTCGTCCAGCTTACTCAGTCCCCAACGTTGCCCCATTTTGGCCAAATGACCATACCGCGGGATCATCGCTGGCTGGTTCTTATTCACCGCAAAGTCCCATGGTGCATAGTGCATTATCGACTCCACATCATACTGCACGCCGTACGTGGACATGTTGGTCAGGATGCGGAAGTTCGGGTAGTACATTCCAGATTGCACGTGCGCCGGGAAGACTTGCACATGGATATCGCGATCCGGCCGGTTGTGTTCGTGGTAGAAGCCTAACGCGTGCATCAGCTCGTGGACGATGATGCCGCGTGTCAGACACTGCTTTCCCAGTTTGATCTCGGTGGCGTTGCCGGGTGTTCGTCCTACGCGGGACATACACCTACAATTTATGTCCTGCTCATTACAACGTCCTGTTATGTCCTGCTCATTACAACGTCCTCATTAATTGTAATGTCCTGCTCATTACAACTAATTACGACGAGAGGTGGAAGTGACTGCACTTGGACAGTGCTAAGAATATGCCATGTTTTCTAATAATACGAGTAACAGTTTTGGTATCCAATTAGGAACATCAATGTAAAGATGCTGCACACGTTGTAAAAAACTCTTAAACGCTGCACTCTTCTTTACCTGCTAGTGTGCGGGGCTATGGAGATGTAGTCAGCTTCATTTGTGCGGGGCTTGAAGCTCAAACATTGTGTGCGTTGCTCTATATGACGCATGGCGCTCTTTATTACATTCCACGCATCGACGCCTGCAATGCGAATTGAGAACTTCATTCAAAGTCATTTACAGAATAGATTATTGCAAATAAAGCGGTAAAACATACGCTAAAATAAGAGAGGTCCATCTCCCAAACAAATACGCTTATCATCGTTAAACTCATTGCTCATTTACCAAAACCCGGATGTATGAGATATGGAATACATCTTCCGTTATTCGGCCAGTAGTTGTGGCTGAACATTTGACCGGTCTCACGCCCTCGCGCTGCCCAGTTATCGCTGTCATTTGCATCGTCGAGCCAGATGATGTCTCCGCTGGTTAGCGATTCTTCCGATTCCTCTATGGACGGATGAATACGCTGTCTCCAGTCTGCAAAAATGCACGATTCGTCTAATCTGTTGAGAGACAGCGTTCATTACACCATATTGTAGCCGTACAAATGAGATCTGTAGTGAAGATGTACAACTCATTGGTGCTAGTTCAACCGGAAACTTAGAAGTTGCCGGAAGCTTAGAAGTTGCCGTTGTAATATTTACCTTTTGGTAATTCCTCACCGACTGCCAACTTGATATCGATCAAGCAGCTAAGAAAGACAAACGAATAAAGATATCCAAGCATTTTCTACCGTAAAAGTTTTAGTTAAGTATGTATGCAGATAAAAAACTAATAAAGACTATAATTCTATGATTTATGATAGATCATCGATCGTTTAGAAAATGCTAGTGCTTCGTTAACGTCGGGCCAAAGCAAACGCTCAGTAAAACAAAACGCACCTCTGTACTTGCAGCGATGCCGCTTACGATTAGCGGGTACTTGATGATGAGGAACGAGATAACCTTTTGCTTTCTGACGTGCGATCTGCTAATGCAACGCAATATGTCTGTAATTGTAATAGTTCCCAAAAACGTCTTCTGCGTCGAATTGTTTGCATTCTTCCGCTCGCAACCGTGTCCCCTCTCGTTGCCAGTAAGGAGCACTATCTGTAAAGGATGCTGATTTGAACGAGCAGATAAATACATGTATGTTGGTTTTTTGAAAACATCACCTTTAGTCCTTTACTGAGTATCTAATTCATTTACGTTAAACAGATATTGATAAAGTAATAGAACATATAAAAATTGACATGCGTGCTCCACTGCTTGTTAAGCGTCTGCAAGGCTGCATTGTGGTAACAGGCTAACAGCGATTAGCGACAGATTTCATGGTGAATTTTGGTTCATCGTGCACACGCAAACTGGCGATAACAAACAAGCAAATGCTGATTACGGCGATATCGACCCGTAAAAGCTGAAATCCACCTCTTTTGCATTTACCATTTTAATGTTGTTAAAACATGCCTTTAATAGTGGCGATTGTCGCATGTGACAGAGTTTCTAAGCAGAGTACAAATCTCTGGGTTACGTATGCAATCGGAACAATAAGCAGAACATTAAGTACATATGCAATCGAAGCCATGAAAATGTCGCTTTGAAATACAACTTTCGGATCAGGCAGTATTGTGCGACACCGCAGAGACGCAGGCATTCCGCTTTTTCGTTATCCGTATGAGTAACCTTTCAAATGGTCAGATAGCTCCAATTAACATAGTTCCTCACGGAGACGTATCCTGACTCTGGCACAGTGGTGTTTTGATCGAAGAAGTGGTCGCGATAACGCCATACCAGGCTCGTTGGTGGGAAGTAGTGACAGACGCCGTGCTCGGGCCTGTAGGAGCATTCCATGACAATGTCTTTCCCTCGTACGACGTGTTGCTTTGGTCCAGGAGGGACGTACACTTTGCCTGTTTCAAAAGGTAGAAGCATCACGAGAGCAGTAATTTCAGCAGGAATATACAGTAACCGGATTATGGTTTTCGTATTATTATATTTTCAATATTATTATATTTTTTTTGAGTATTATATATTTTTCAGTATTATTATATTTTCAAAGTCTACGAGTATAGTAAAGTACTGACCATGACCATTGTATCGGCCGTTCACATTGGAGATTCTTCGCATATGGATTTAATTTTTTATGCGTGATACATAATAATTACATATACTGTAGCGATAGAAGTTGTACAACCATAAGACCACCCAGTTATGATTCATCAAAGCGTTATGAATTTCTGTCCTTTTACCGGCTAGCTGTTCTTCTTCACAATTTCTAGAATTCAGTCTTGCATTCGCTTGTTACAGCTTGCATCAGCTTGATTAGCTTGTTCCGCTTGTTAAACCCTTGTCTAAACCTTCCCTGTTTTGCATTGTTCTTGTCATTAAACATGCCGTGAACTTCCGTTTTTACGTTTGTTGCGTCGTTAAGTTAGTAAGAGCGTTCACGACCACACCGTTGCCGGTCGTGCCAACCTTTCATCCCAACAGCCCACACAACATCGTGGTACGGTCAACACGCCAACCTACTAGAACGGCAGCCAGATCGGCTACTATTACAATACAACTGTATCCTTTTGTATTAGACCGTTTGGAACCCAGGGTGAGGTTTGTATATGACACGTATTATGCGGACATCGCACCACTACTCTGAACGTGTATAGCAATCGGTATTTAAGCATGCGCAGTTAGCAGAGTTGGAATAAGCTGTGGACTGCGCGTGTGGTATATACAGTCACCTACTTCCGCTTGGGACAAGCGGATAGTCGTGCTTAATGAACGTTACCGGAAACCCAGGGAGCTTGCGGAATGCTTGATCAACCAAACCGAATAACCCTAGCTGTACAGAACAGAGCAGGAACGGATTTCTTCCTAACTTTGAGTTCCAAGACGCTTAAAGAATTATCAACGGATTCCGTCCAAATTTCCAGCTTCTGAAAGTTTGCAACGCGGAGAGCCGATTTTTAAAGAAATGACAGAGGTGCGTCACGTAGCCAAAGTCCTGGCTTCGCAACGCGGCGAACCCATGTCTAGAATTGCGGACATGTACGTGCTCGTTACGCACTACTGTTAGCGTACAATTCGGAATAACAAAGTAAGAATCAGCCAGTCAGCCCGCAGTTCAAAAATTTATTCAAACAGGAACATATCTAATGCATAAATCGGCAGCAAACCAAAGAAGTGCTTGTTTTGTATAAACATCCATGTTTTGTAGTCCTATCTGGTACGCGTAATACTGCGTGAGCCATCGCAAATACAGATTCGTAGTATCTAAGCAGCGCATACTTTTTAAAGTATATTTTACCACCATGTCGAACTGCGAGGCGATGACCCTTTGACGTAAAACCTTTGGATTATGCAGTATTTTTCGATACCACAATAACACAGACACTCGACTTCTTCGTAATCTGTATTAGTAACATTTCGGATGGTCAGATAGCTTCGGTTAAGCCTGTTTTCCACGGAGATCTGCTGGTTCTGTTTTGACTGGACAACAGTGTCCTCATCGATGAGGTTGCCTTGATATCGCCACACCAGACTTGTGGGCGGAAAGTTGTGACATGCGGAGCCGGATTTGCTCATGTAGAAGCAGTCTAGAACAAAATCTCCCCATAGATAGACGTGCACCTTCGTTCCAGGACGATCAACCATTTTGCTCTCAATTTCACCACGCGTACTGTGGTTCTCTACTTGGACAGCTGCAAACAGCGCACGCTTAGCCTTAAAACTGCGACAGGCAAGAAATTATGGCTTTAGCTAACAGAAGCAATACAACGCGTGCAAAGTCTGCTGTACTGACAAAATGAAACCCGATCAGTCCATCTAGCCGTGCGGATTATTATTATGAACGTAGCCTACAGATGGTAAAATACATAGCATTTTACTCTGTCCAGGGTGAGCTTTGTACTTCCACGCTACTTGGGCTACGCCATACGCAGATAGCAAAACCAGGGCTTATCCAAGGTTTCTGTTGAAGCGGTACAATAGAAAAGGTATAGGGCGTGACTTCCGTTCACTTCCGTCACTACAGGCATCCCCTTTTATTACGGGAACCCTTTTAAATAACTTAATGCTCTAGCTATGAATTATTTGGGTTTCTGGACTAGACGGCCTCCATAATTTTTTGAATATAACATAATTTACTAACAGTTTTCTTAAGTTATTCACTTACTAGTGCTCGCTGCTGTGCTGTTGTCAAGATGTCTGTCAACTGGTCCACACGCTGGTACTGGTGTTTGAGCGTGAAACAAAATCATCACGCGAATCCATGGTGCCAGAATCGTACAGTTTATTTTTACAGGTTTCATCAATGCATACTATTATTCAGATATAAATGCGTTAGCTTGTACAAATTGGAATAAAAATAAATATTTTTTCTGCCCATCGCTTAGTTTCGGCATTCCCTATAAAATTTTTTAAACATTTTCTCGTTCCTTATTGCCAATTTCACCGTAACAAAACACTATCAGCACGAATATGGAATCAAGTTTATTATCACCAGAATACCGCGATCTGCAGTGGCAAAGGTCATAACGCGTCCGTTTTCAAATCGCTCTCATTGGTCCATTTACTACGTTTTTTTTATAGACGGAAAGCAATTTTAGGAAAGTTGACGACATGAACTTATTGAACTAAGCCAAACTAACGCAATTAATTTTTTTTAACTATTTATACAAACTCTATCTGTACGAAGTCGGTTGCGTGGGAACGGTTTATACAGTGCCAAGTACATCCGGTGCGTTGCAACGATATCGATGCTTTTATAAACTTCCGGTACCGATTTTTTAAAATTTCCCTAGAATCATCAGAAACTGATTCTTAAACGTTGCGCCAAAGCAAATGCTCAGTAAAACAAGACGCACCTGTTGTTTTATGATACATATTCTCTGTACATACCATCTCAGTATGGCTACGCGACAGGGTCGTCGCGGCACATTTGGTTTTACGGACATTTCGCCTAAGGATAACTCGCTTTTTTAGCAAACAGTCATGTGGCTGTTTGTTGCCATAAGCCAGTCGGTTATTTTCCGACTCCCCAAATGTTGCGCGACCAAATGTCACACAACAAAGCGGCTGCAAAACGAGTTGCCCAAAAAAATTAGCCGCTGCGACCAAAAACGTGTGGCGCAATGTCCCACGACGAAATGTCCGCGACCACTTTGGCTGTCACCCTCTGTATCCGGGGTATCCGCTTTATCTATACTACATATCTGTTCCACGCTGTCTGTATCCACTGACAGGCGCTGTCGGCGAAATTAGCGTGACCGGACCTCTCGCGAATGGCATCACAATCGCTTCCATAATTCCTTGATCGTGGCAATATTCGATGGTCCCCATGGGCGCATTACCCTGAAGGCAATGGGAGCGAATGTAGGATAGTAAATTGCAGTTTGTAGTTGCAGTAATTGCCTTACTACTTATACAGTTCGCGTACGGTATTACTTCCCTTTCTACTATAATCCTGTGCAAGATTAACGTAAGTGCAATATTACGAAAATTTCCGAAACTTAATTCCGTACCACTTTTAGTGCGGTGAAGGATGAGTTGTGATCGTTGCTTTCTAAGGAGCAACCGTTTGTTTTCTGTATTATGTTTTTCTTTCGTTTTTCTCGTCATTCTGCATGCTTCTGCGGTGACAGCGGTGTAGATCACTTTTTATGTTGCATTAGCGAAGTGTGTGTACGGTAATTTACCACCACATACTACTGTACATAACTTCATACTACTGGAAACAAGAGTCCGCTTGTGAAGAGTTACCGCTGGATTTGGCGCGCGTTCACCAGTGTGTATGGGATAACGCCGTTATACAAAAAGACATCACTGTGTTATGGGATAGCGTCGGCGACAATAAGCGAGACGAAGCACGGCTGAGAGCAGTCAGCACAAAGTACGCCGGGGCATGGCTTAATGCTCTTCCTGCAAAAGTTTTTGGCAGTTTCTTGGACGACCAGACTTTTCGTATTTCCGTTGGCCTGTGGCTTGGTGCGAAAATTGTCGAACGTCATTCCTGTGCTAGATGTGGAAAAGATGTAGCGGAGAACGGATATCATGGGCTGGCTTGTAAGAAGTGTATCGGTAGAAGGGAACGACGCAACGGTATTAACGACATAATTTTGCGAGCGTTATGTAATGCCGGGATTGAAGCTTATCCGGAGCCCGTTGGCTTTCTGCGCGAAAATGGAAAGCGCCCGGATGGAGCCACGCGATGGAAGTGGTATCGCGGTCAGCCTTTAGTATGGGACGTCACTTGCAGAGACACGATGGCGGATTCATATATCGACGCTACCTCAAAGTGTGCTGGCGCCGCCGCCGAATTGGCTTGCCGGGAGAAGATTGGAAAATACAAATCGCTTACTGATCGCTGCAATTTTGTCCCCTTTGCATGTGAGACTTTTGGCACTTGGTGTGAGACAGGCATTGTAACGTTGAAGGAGATTCGTAAGAAGTTGTTTTTAAGGACGGGCGAAAATCGCTCCACTTGTTTTTTGTTCCAGCGTTTAAGTTTGGAGATTATGCGTGGTAATGCTATGAGTGTGTTGTGCACAGTCCCTTCTCATGTTAATTGGGACAAATTCTTCATTTGATTATCATTGTTGAGCGAAGCTCGCTTTGTACAAGCCCATCCAACAATTCTTTGACCGCTGTAAGCGCAGCGCATATAAATCGCGCACAGTAATGCAAATACGCATCGTAGTGTAGTGGCAGATATATTTATAAATATTCAACCAATAATAATATATTAGATCACAATTAATAGACCATTACTAGACCAACGTGGAATCAATCATCTTTAGCCCGGGCATGTTACAATCAGTAATTTGAAAGTAATATGGATATTACGTACCACCGCGATATTGAATTGCAAAGCAAAGATTATACTGTTACAAAAGCATAAAATTAATATAAATTATGATGGCAATAAATAATGCTAAACATATTACATTGTATGTCACAGATAGGTACAGTAACTGCAACACTTGAACACATGCAGATTTGTTGCTTATGTACGCTGAATACGCAGACCCCTGTGGCGTGACGTGTCGAAGCACATTAAATGGCTCAAGCCCACGTTTCTTTAAATTCCGCTTACAGCGGTCAAAGAATTGTTGGATGGGCTTGTACATATTTTTTCACTGCAAGGATGTTTTATCAGACACCATGAAAATGTTCAAACCAACATAAGCGAAAACAACTGACGATTAAGATGATTTTACGACATTCGAGAACCTAGCAAATACAGAGACCGACAGAAAAAACTACAAACAAGCAGCCAGAATCCACAGGTGCCACACCAACGAGCTCGCTGGTTAAGGGCCAAACGCAGAGCGTTGTAAGGGCAAGCCCCCAGATTGCTTCGGGCGTAACAACAGAAAAATCCGACCGCAAACATCCGCGCTTCCTCCATCCGTATCCAGAGCCTGGGAGATCCACGTTCGTTCCACGATACCCCAACGACATGAACAATGATATTGTCAGAGTGTTGTGCGTATAGCACAGGATATTGGCACGGTCGCCTCACCATCATTGGCTCGGCTTGCCATTGGCCAGCTTTCCAAACACGACTAATCGTGTTTGCCATTCGAGTGCCAGCTTCGGAACCGTTAACATCGATTCCTAGCTTCCTCATGGTTTCATGCCCTTTTTTTTCCCTTTAGATTTGTTTATGATGCCCTTTTTCTGGTCTTTATTTCAAAGAAATAAAGCGATCTTTCGAGGAGTTGTGGTTTCGTTGTGTTTTCTCTATGCAGCGTGAGCGCTTCTCCGAGATGGTGGAGATGCGTTAAGATCCCTGTCATTCCCTTACTTTTGCTTAACTTTTGCACTCGATAACGGCGTTCTATCACACACGCCGTGACACGGAAGTTCTTCTCCTTCAGTGGAGGTCCCAGCTCATCAGTGACAGCTAGCGGAGGAGAATCCCCAACAGCACTAGAAGCAAGGAGCGTCGCTGGTTCGGAAGGCACGCGGCCGCCAGCACGGAGAAGAACCGCGGATTGCGCGCAAACAGTGGTAGGCATTAGAGCCAATAGATTTGAGTTGAAGGATTAATTCCTATTTCTTCTTCTGAGTTATCGGATTAATTCCATTAGTTTTATAAGTGAGGTGAACGCTTTTGAAAACGAGGAAGAAAAAGCGACCGATTGATCGCAACGAAAATGAAGAAGGTCTTAGTCGTCGTAGTGGATGGCAAAGTCGTAAGAGTTATCGTTACAGATATCCAGACAGTCTATCTGGATGATATTCTGTTGTAAGAAGAGGAACGATTGTTCCATATTGGGATTGTTATTATATTATTGGTAATAATTAAAAGTATCGACGGTTGAAGAATAATCGTAAGAGAGCGCTTCTCTTCTCCGAGCTTCTCTGAGAAATAATAGCCCGCACTTCATGATATTATATTAGTTAACCAACATTTAGTGCAGCACTGTTAAAACGTGCATTTATGGACAGTGGCGATAGTCACAAGTGGCAGAGATTCTAAGCAGAGCATTGCGCAAACCACCGCAGCTAATAAAATGTCGCCTTGAAATGCAGTTTCCGGATCAGACAGTATTCTTCGATACCACAGAAACGCAGGCAATCCACTTTTTCGTAATCTGTATTATTAACCTTTCGAATGGTCAGTATGCTCAAGTTATGAAAGTTTTTCACGGAGACTTTCCCTGACTCGTATACCGTCTTTCGGTCGAAGAGGCGGTCGCGATAACGCCATACCAGGCTCGTTGGTGGGAAGTCGTGACATACGCCGTGCTCGCTCTGTAGCTGCATTCCATGACAATATCCTTCCCTAGTGGGACGTGTTGCACTGGTCCGGGAGGGAAAGACACTTCTTTTCGCACTGTACCGCGTGTAATGTAGTTCCCTGTTTCAGAACGGAATGGTAAAAGCATCACAAGAGCCGAATTTTAGCTGGTACAATGGACTGCGGAAGTCGGACCGGACGAGTTGTGCCATCGGCTTCGGCGGCCATATCGGTCCGCGTTAAGACACTTCCGCAGTCCATTGTAAGTAAAAGAATTATGGTTTGCGTCAAATACAAAATTATGCTTTTAAAGTCTGCTATACTGACTGACCAGTGTCCATTAGGTCAGTCGCTCACTCCACGGGTGGTATACACAATCATCTACTTCCGCTAAAAACAGGTAGGTAGCCCTGCCTAACGACAGTTACCAAAAACCCTGGAACTTGACGAATGTTTTCAATCAAACTAAATTAACCACGCAAAACAGAAACGGAACAAAGCAGGAAAGAACTTCTTCCTGACTTCGAGTCAAAAGACGTTTCAACTAGAAACGAGTTTGTAGATTTAATTGTCGAATATCCCAAGAAGTACGTTACGTTTAGCAAATGGCATGGGCCGCTACAAGACTGTAAGATGCGACTGGTTAGGCGATGGCCTCTGACTCTGAAGAAACATTTCTTGCGCATCAGGTGTTTGTGGAAAGATGAAGTGGTGTAATTGTATCTGGGAGTGGCTGCGGCCGCCCAACGTACCAGAAATGCTGCAAGCCCTGACGACCAATTTTCGGGAACTGTTAAATGTGGCTACACACCTACTCGCAACAGACTGTACGCGTAGAAAAGTGAAACTCGGCCAGTCGGTCTGCAGTTCATCTATTCAAACAGGTTTGATCTAATGCATACAATCTACAGCCCACTTTCGAACAGCAAAGCGCTTAAGTTTGCGCAAGTTCCCATAAAACGAAACATCCATGATTTTTAACTCTCCCTGATCTGGTACATCCACGGTAACACGAGCCTCGCATGTAGTAATCTACAAAATTAAGCCGTGCATATTTTAAAGTATATTTCACCACCATGTCGATTTGCGAGGAAGTGTTCCTTTGACATAAAACCTCCGGACTTCGCAGTATTTTTCGATACCGCAATAACGCAGACACTCAACTCTTTCCCACGCTGTATTAGTAACATTTCGAATGGTCAGATAGCTACGGATAAAACCGTTCTTCACCGAGATCTGTCCTGACTCGGAAACAGTGTCCTGATCGATGATACTGTCCCGATAACGCCACACCAGGCTTGTGGCCGGAAAGTTGTGACAGGAGCCAATGGAGCTGCCCGTGTAGGCGCAGTCTATAACAACGTCATTCCCCATATCAACGTACAACTTCGTTCCAATACTACGACCAATAGCATCAACCATTTCGTTTCCAGCTGCATCACGCGTACTGTAATTCTCATTTTCGAAAGCTGCAAACATCACACGCTTAGGCTTAAGTTGCGGCCGGTACAAAACGGTTTTCCCTAACGAAAAAAGCAAAAGTACGCGTGTAAAGTCGGCTGTACTGACCAGATGAAACCCTGTCCGTTCTTCTACATGCACGCGGCTTCTTTTATGAACGTAGAATGCACAGCACTACGTAATATGTTTGGAATTTTATCGAATGTTAACTTTGGGAAATTGGAATGTTGGAATTTTAGCGACAGTTTTCTCAAGGTGTTAACTTACTGGTGCTGGTCGCTGTGCTGTTATCAAGGTGCCCACGACTAATTACTGGTCCACACGCTGGGGCTGGTGTTTGAGCGTGAAACAAAAGTAGCGCACGAATCCAAGTTGCCACAGTCATACAGTTTCTCGCAACAAACTTCATCGATGCATCATGTTACTCTGTCCGTTGCCGACTTTCGTTCATGCAGCATATACATTTTGACACATTTTATTGCCTAATCCACCATAACAAACACTGTCAGACTCTGAGTCGACTCAGCATGAATATCGATTCAGGTTGATTATCCCCGTATTGTGGCCATACTTACCGCTTGATATCGCTATCTGCATAGCAAGGGACAAAAGGTTCAACGCTTCCGTTTCCAAATCGTCCTCATTGATCCAGATACTTCGACTTTTTTGATAGGCCGAAAGCAGTTTTAGGAAAGTAGAGGACCTAAACTGACATAAGACTTTTTTAATTATAATGGACAGTCTACGAAGTCGGTTGCGTGGGAACGGTTAACAGCGGGTACATCCGGTGCGTTTGCGCGATGTCTGTATTTTATTAAATTTCCGCTTCCCGTTTTTCGGTACTACTGTAATTTCACTAAAAACATCAGAAACTTAAATGATACTCTAGTGACCCTAACAGCGACTTCCACGCCCATCCAGCGGCGGTCGAATAACAGAAACCGTTTCGTCTTAACTAGCCGCCGAAGATACTGTTTGTTCTCCGTATAGGAAATGCTGTGTTTCCCCGCTTGAATTTCTGTGCTGATGCGTTGACGTAAACACTTCGTTCCTCGCATTTCGCCAGTTTCCTGCTGCACGACCTTTCCCCGTACATTTACCACCGAATCACCGATAGCCAACCGCAATTGCAAGCCGGGCGTCGCTGAGTGAGTTCCAAAGAGATGCTGCCGGAAGTGCTTGGAGCCGTGCGCTTGGTGCTGACGGTCAGTTGCAACATTCAGGCCGGCCTGGTGATGTCATATTACTGGAAGTATTATCCCACAAGTCCAGGTCGACGTCTACGATCGCTTCATCCCATTCTTTCTGTGCTCGCCGCAGTTCGGGAGTGGGGATTTTGTCCCGCAAGTAGCTACCATTTGGTGGTGGGTGCTGCGCAGTATTTCACCGCCTGGAAGTGTGTGATTTCGGAGACCAGAGAAGCCATGCTGAATAGGGCGAGGCCGGTCAGCTTTTCGGTGCTGGGAATGATTTGTCTTTTTCAAGAAAATTGCTAAATTTCTGAGGATTCTAACGATATTCAGCACGAACTGATCAGGGTCCAAGCGGTCGGGAAAGCGCCTTGTTTATAAATTTTCCCAATTATCGCCCGGATACTGCCCGTGACCCCATGTAGTAGTCGTACGGCGTACAACTATTGTTAATTTTTCATGAAACGATGCTCCAAAAGCTTTTGCAAGAAACTTGTAGGCTTGTACAGTATTTACTATTTATTCACTTGTACAGATACCTGTGGCTATACCTCTACGGATTACGTTATTTTATAGTATTTTTTACAGTGCCATTGCATTACACATAATAATAATAATACTAATAATAATACTAATAATACATTGCATAACACAGAATAATAATAACATAATCTGTACAGCAAATTACCGGAAGTTCCGTTACACGGAATACGGTAGTGCTGCGCCGGCGGCGGTCAAGTGCGGCTGCGGTTAAACTGCGGTTAAGTGGTGCACAAGCGGGCCCACGTGGCAGTGCCGTGGTGTATGCGCTGTACGTACGTGGTTGCTTCTAAACTCGTCTGCTGCAGTCAGTGCAGTCAACTGCCAACACGCGTGTTTAAACACGAAACAACGCTGCAGCCAAGAGAGCAAAATCAGCAAATTTGGGTTAGATGTCATTAGCAAGATAAAAATGCAAGCTTGATCTTGATCTTCCTGTTCATAAAACACTAAGCACCCTGCTCCTCCATCTCGTAAAGTGTATTCTTGCACCCCACCTCCGAGAATGCCATGAGCCCATAATTCATCGTTGTGATTGCGGACGTGGACGCTGTGATCATGGCCAGCAGTGTGCGCAGCATCTGCGCCGATTTAGCCTCCTTCGTGGCCCATGACGCCTTCATCTCCGTCCGTGTGGCCGTCATCCTGCTGGCCGTCCTCATCGCGCTGGTACAGAAGCTGCTCTTCGACGTCTCTTTATGGAGCTACTTATCCTCCTTCCTCGAGAACCCCTACTTCGGGGCCACCTTCAGTATCGTGGGGATCGGGGCGGGTCTGGCGGCGCTGCAGCAGATGTGGTCGTTGGGGCAGCATTTTTACGCCACGTACATGACGTGTAGCATTGAGATGAGCAGCGGGGATGAGAGTTTCCAGTGGGTACTGCAGTGGATCTTCGCCAAACGCCTCACACACCCCCTGCATCTGTCCGTGGAGACGGTGTGTCAGGGGGCGCGCAGTGCGGAACGCGCCAGTCGCTTCCAGTTCGTCCCTTCAACTGGTGTGCATCATTTTCTGTACGGAGTAACACGCAACATTTTTTGTACTAGTTTTTACTAAATTTTTCGCCGTAATTTTTTCCGTACCGAATTTAACCATATTTTTCTTTAGTTTTCACAGAGTTTGTGGATTCTTTTGTTCCGTGTTCGAATTTATTTTTCTTGCGAAAAATATCCACAATTTTTTTATGAGAACGGATGAACTGTTAACTATTATGCAGTTTTTGTTTTACAGAGTTATCCCAGAGTGAAAACTGAAATAGTTTCGAATTAATTTCGTGATAACTGTACTTGCATTAATCGCACATGAAATTATTACGGATGAATTTATTTTTTAAATTACGGACGAATGGCAGTTTATTTCTAAATTGCTTTCCACTGCGTACTGCCGAAAATCGGAAAAAGTAACTATAATAATTGTGCTAGAGTATCACATGGATTTTTTATCGTTTTCTAGAGTTTTTAAGCGTTTGTAAAGTGCATTTTAAGACGGGAACACTTTTTTTACTTTGATTTTAATACAAAAATTTGTACACTGCCACGAATACAGTGTGAGGAAACTTTTATTAACATTATTTTATGTACTGTAATTGACTTGGAATAATTCCATCATTCCATGAATATTTTCTTCTAAAAATGTACAAAATGAATTCTTTGGTGGCTTTTTGGCAGGTTTAAAGGGAAATGGATCCAGGTGCAGCGCAGTAAAAGCCAGAACGAGATGGCGTTCGGCTTGCGTCCGCTGGAGAAGTTGATTCTGCGCACCAGTGGCCGGGATACCGGCATCTTTCAGGAAATTCTCCAAGAAGGTACGATTGTTAGGACAATTGTTAGGATAGTCGTACTGTGTTCTTATATTAACATTTTGTTGTGCAGTTAGGTTTTTTTTTCCTTCATTCGTTCAGTAAATAATAAGTACTAAAATGTACAGTAACACAATCATTTAATGTCATTATTTGTTGTCAGATGGGAATATTTTTTCAGACTCTATGATAAATCATTAGTTTATTTTTGTTTTACTTTGTTAAGAAAGTCTGACACGTTCGACATACAGCGGAAAGCGAAAATAATTAAACCAGCCCTGATCCATTCGTATGCTTACGTTGCCGCCGCGGTATAGAATACCGGTAGCTAATAAAATCACAATGATGATAAAAATTGTAGGAACAAAATTAGAAATTACTAATCTGCTTTTAATTTTACCTCCATAGTGTGCGCTACCGCCAGTGCCCAGGGTTTTTTTATTATGCCAATGCACTACGAAACTCCCTGTCAAGTGTAGTTTTTGAGAAATTAATTTGTTATATTTTTCGTTCTCGCATGATTAATTCATGTCTAGATATTAAAGAAGACCATTGGCAATGTAGTCATTATTTTGCCAACCAGAAATTACACTTGGCACTATGTACTATAGTGGTAAAACAGATTATTTCACCAACAAGAAACTATTGATGCAGTTTATTTACCAGACATTATTGGTGCAGCTCTTGGTAAAGTAATTATTATTTTAGCGACCACAGATTATTAGCACAGTGGTTAGTTAATTACCGAATAATTATTCTTTTTCTAAACCAAAAATATTGATAAAATAAATAAATATGACTTGAGCGCTTCTTCTCTGCATGGTTGCAGCGTTGGATTTTGTGGAGACGCGGAAGAAAGGCAAAATCACCGTGTACTGCGCGTCGGCCGGCTGCTGGGCCACCTTATCCACCCCGCTGCATAAACGGCCCCTGTCCTCCGTCATCCTGGACCAGGGCATCGCCGAGAAGCTCCTAGCTGATCTGGAGCACTTTGTCGACCACTGCGAGGTAGGGTAACTGTTGTCTTATAAAATCAGCCAAAAAAGAAACAAAATTTCATTTAATTAGCCATTTAATTATCCATTTACCTGTAGACTATTAAAAGCATCCCTTAATGAAGTTTGGCTACTCTAGTGCGATAATAATAATAATAATTAATTACAGGGAAAAATAATAACAAGAGATAACGACAATAATAATAGTAATGATAATAACAAGAAAAAATAATATCAAGAGTTATAATGTATCCAAATAAGTAATATCAAGAGAGATATAAATAATAATTAAAAAATAATGACAATAAATAATAATGATCATAATAATAATAGTGGTACGTGGCGCGCGGCATCCCCTACCGGCGCGGCTACCTGCTGCACGGCCCCCCGGGGACGGGGAAGACCAGCTTCATCATGGCGCTGGCCGGCTTCTTCAATCTGAACATCTGTATGCTGAATCTGAGCGAGAAGTGGCTGACGGACGACGTGTTCAACCAGCTGCTGTGTAATGCGCCGCAGGACAGTGTCTTTCTGCTGGAGGATGTCGACGCGGCGTTCTTGACGCGGGAGGGCCAGGGGAAGAGTGCTGATGCAGCCAGTAAGCAGGTTTTTTTTAGTAGAAGGAGTGGGGATTTTTTTAGAACGGTGTGTGCGTTTTTTGCGGATGGATAGAAGCGGTGGCGTTTGATGGGCTGAGTCGACTGACGTTCAGCGGATTTTTAAATGCCATCGATGGGGCGGCGTCAGCCGAGGGACGCATCCTGTTTATGACGACGAATTATGTGCAACGGTGAGTTTCTCCCACTCTTTTAACTGGTTTTCAATTTTGTTGACACAGTTTAATTTTTGCAGTGCAACGTAACTGAAGTATAATTTAAATGCAGTTAAAATTTTGATAAATAATTGGTAATGAAATTTTAATGAAAAATGATAGATTTTATTCGTGATTTTCATTGGTATAGTGGAAACGTATAAAATAAAATTTGATAATTGCAGGTGTATCCAGAGCTTGATTTTGAAAATTCAGGGTTTTGATTATTGATTGGTCATCTGTTGATTTTGACAGTTTTGTTAATTATTTGCTGTTAAAATATTTTGATCTTTAATTCAAGTTGTTATTTTGAAAATTGACGTGAATTGCATTATTACGCACTTGAATACTGTGTAATGACATGCGAACGCCGGAAACGTAGCGTTGTTAATTATTAATACTGATGTACAATTGTGATCAGTATAACTGTGTAGCAAATAAAAATAAATTCGTTTGCAGGCATAAATACTTTTTTATACATAGAAATTCAAACAAAATCCGTATTAATTTAAATAAATGCGATTTAAAAAATAAATACAGAGTAAAAATAAATAAAAAATAGGCATAAAAATAACCGCGAATTTTAAATTTTATGGATGTATTATTGTGTCTGTTTATTCTGGCGTGCTTCCTAGCTGCCAATGTCCACTAGCCATTGCACTACGAAACTAGCCGCACTGTTTAGTAGTTTGCAATCTTTTCCACTGTGTTGCCCGATAAGAATAACACGATGCAGACATTCTCTACAAATGACCTTGAAGACATTGCTGCGGTATGTTAATGCGATGCATTCATGTCCAGCAAATAAGGAATTTTTTATAAAACGTATTTACAAATAGGTAATTGGTAAAAAATTAAAACGAAGCGCGTAGATCTATGTTCCAAAATGGCAGCATGTTTAATGTGTTGCAGAATCTGTCACTTCCTTTCGTAACAGTACGATTGGCAAGGGAAATTTTAATTCTTTGAATTCATGCTGAAAGTGAAATCTTCTATACGTGATTTTTATTAGTGGGTTAGTATAGCGTGTACATTTGGTAGTGATATATCATAGTTATTTGTAATATTTCTCATTAATTTTATATTTACATAATTTCTTGTTGTTGTTTTAGAATTGGAAGTTTAGACGAAGATATTAAAAAATAATTAATTTAATTAGCACAGAAATACGTAAAAAATAAGTAACTTATTATTAATTAATAATTGTTTTCTGTTTCGAAAATTCATGCGCTGTGCAGTCGACGTCGGACTTTCACAGATCCGACTTTATGGAAACACTGAGCCGTTACACTACGATAAGTGACAAATACTAAACGACTGCACACGACAATAAATCGGGTTTTGTTAATTAATTCTCCTGTACATGGATTTATGATGAGAATTGTTAAATATGTATTCGTGGGATAAGTTCTGTTGAACAAGTGTAGAAGATGAAATCGTTGTTGGGGTAGATTGGACCCGGCGCTGCTGCGGCCGGGCCGCATCGACGTGTGCCAGTACATCGGGTACGCCAGCGAGCACCAGCTGCGCCGCATGTACCGCCACTTCTACCCCGACCAGCCCCCCGAGGAGGCCGTCACCTTCGCGGCGCTGGCGCTGGACACCGCGCCGGAGATCAGTATGGCGCAGGTGCAGGGCTTGTTCCTCCTGCACAAATACGACCCGGAGAATCTCCTGCAGGATTTGAACGCCAGTCTCTCCCGAAATACTCCCGCGGTGTCCTAGTGTGACTGGACGGATGGTTGCTTGAAGTGTCCCTGTCCCGCTGCTGGTCAACCCCCCCCCCGGGTGGTGTACTCTTGGTTGGGGACGTGTGTGATGATTTTATTCAGTTTTTATCCGTTTGTTGCGTTGTGCCGGGTTGGAGTGGAGCGTTTTTATTTGTGTAGACACCCTGTACATCAATTTTGTTTTTTTTTTTGAAAATTCAGGATAAGCTTATGTTGAAGTGGGCATATCGATAACATGCAATGTCATGACGATCCTTGAAATGAATAATAAATAAATCATTTTACTATAAATTCTTGCGGAGTTTACGTGAGAGAGTCGTAGCGGTTTTACTGGATGACGTTTTTCATTGAATTACTTTTACAAGCGTGCTCGTACAATACACGGTACCAAAGTCGTGTACATGCAGGATGACTTGTGCGTTCGCGCATTCCAAAACACTTTTTTGCTAATTATTTTTTCATGATATTCTGTAGCCAGATGATTGTATACATTCGGCTAAACAGCATTTATACGCACAACATTCGGTTGGTGGTTATGGCCATGTTAACACGGTTGGGTTATGGCCATGTTAAATTGTTAATCATGTTAACAATTGAATTTTAATTAAGTAAACAAAAAAATTTTACAGTAAGTAAATTCGTTCAGAACTTCAGGTCATCGGGTGTACCAAAAGTCTGTTTATGCACCGATCTTCTAGCACTTGTTTTCTTATTTGAAATTGAATTGCATGAAAATCTTGAAAAACATTTTTAAATTTGATTAGGTGTAAAAGCGTTCTTGCTAGTTATGTGTGTTTATGTGCAAAACAGGAAGAAGATCAGTACATAAGGCGTAAAGCACTGCTAAAAAGGGTTTGGAAGTGCGCGAGAGCGATAGTTCTCTATTATAACACACTATGTACCTAATCACTTCCCCTAAAGGCGTTGGAAAATATTGGCTGTGTAATCGAGAGCGTTTTCTCTGCCGATCGTTAGAAACCGACATAATTGAAAATTATGTGAATCGTAAACATTGCGCCAATTTGCGTGAGATGTTGGGTATCTGGCTAACTTTCGAACATGTTTGCCGATGCGTTCCTACTGAATCACGACAGCAGCATTTTTAATTAGCTTCGGTCGATCGTCTATGCTTACTATATCGCTCGTCATTCCCCAATCGATAATCGAATAAATCTGATATAATTCGGCTAGAATCCCGACATAAGAAACCCCGAAAAAAGTTGAACACCCCGCCTCAAGTGCGGCGATAAAGCGCATAAGCAAAAAGCAGCGGATCAATCAACGCCTGCATGGCATACAACCCCGTGGCAATGACAAAGAACGTCGGCGACAGAAACACCCCGGCGTAGAACCACGTGGAGAAGAAGACCAGCGCCGGGATCCAACACACGCTGATGCTGACCACCGTCAACGAGAGGATCATGAACGGTTTGACTACTTCGCGGCGCACTACCGGCTTTTTATGTACCGCTGCTTCCGCCACGCTGATTATGGTCATCCGGGTGTCCGCTGTCGAAACAACTGCCACCCGCGTCCGTTTGCGGTGGAGACGGTGGGTGAAGAGGTAGAGATAGGAGAGGAGGATGAAGATGAGCGGACCGGTGTGGTTCATCCAGTCCTCCACTTTATTCCACGCCGGCATGGCCGAGAAGTTGGAGTGGCAGCCGAAACGCAGGTCCAGGTTGTAGTATAGAGTGTCCAGGATGAAGATCGGGAGGCCGCCCATGTGCGCCCACAGGAGAGCGGCCACGCAGGAGAACACCGCTACCTGTAAATTAATAAGAAATAACGATGCACATACGTTTCCTCTTGGCCATGATTAAGTGTACAACGCTCCCGCAAAATTATGGAAATTATTTTCGCGTCAACTGTTTTTAATAAGTTTTATTGTTAATTAGTTTTATTGTTTTTATTAAGTTGTATTTAATTTCAGTACATGAGCAATCCTCGTATATATTATTCTGTTGCGAGAGTAGATTAATATTATTAGAATTAACTAATCTTAAGTAAAACTACAGAATTGTTCTGAGTGTTTTATTAGATTTTCCAACGCGACTAATATTCCTGTACATATATTCAGTATATTTTGCCCAAAGAAATTTCAGACATTCTGATTGTGTCACTGGTATGGTACGTTCTTTTGAGAAGCTGTTTTAAGAAATTTTACGCTGCAAACACCAGCACCTGTGTTCCCCCTGCGCCGCTTGACTGCGTTCGTTATGACTGGAATTATTATCCCCCATTATTCAGCAGGAAAAATATTCTTCATGAAAATATCTGTAATTTTTTTATATTTACTTCTGTTTTTTTTACTTCATAAGAAGATTTACCCAGCATTAAGGAAATTAATTTCCTGTTATTTTTCATATTTCCTGCTAATTATTTTTAAAAGTACTAATATTATATTTTATTTTAATAATTTTTTATTAGCACCCTACAAACTGGTAAAGCGCTCTTGCATGAAAAATGAATTTATTGTTAGCAATCATGCGGTGGACAGACGTCGGAAAGATATACGACAAACACCCATCCATAGCCATACCTTTTTAGTGTGATGGTGCTTGTACGACACGGAAAACGTCACCGCCCACAACCGGTTGACGGAGATGAGGACATGACACAGACACTGCGCCCCCGACCACACCTCGTTGAAGTAGTTGTGCATCTGGCACACCCGCCGGCCCATCCACCACCCGCCGTACGCCGTGTTGAGGATCTCCAGAAAGGTCACCGGCAATAAAAATAACAAATTAGCCACAAGCAGCGCGATGAGGTAGATGGTGAACGGTGTGATGCGCGCCGGGATGCGCAGGAAGTCCAGGAGGACGACAAGGTTGGCGGTGACGGAGAGGGTCAACACCGTCGCCTGGAAGATCAGCTGGGAGGTCCAGACAACGGGAGCGGCGGTGGTGGTGTTGGCGGGAATAGTGTGGTTGGTAAACTCCATCGTATGGTGTTGAAATAACGCCGTAATGGAAAACATTAGAGGATGTTTGAGCAAGATCCAGATTTCATCCCGTTTATAAGGACATGTGTCTCTCTCATCGATCTTGTTGGAAATGATCCACTTAACAGGTATAGCCTGTGTACGTGCAAAGAGCATCCGTTGACCGTTATTCCGGAACTATTGATTGCTTATGTTTCCGTGTAACCGAGCGCGTAATCGTAACCTGGTTACAGGAATATAATTTTAGCGTGAAACCTCTGTTGGCTTCTTTCTGTCGGGTGCCTGCCCGGTCACGCGTGCAACTGGATTAGTCTATTTACCTCTTCCATTAAAAAAGGCAATCCGATCACCCAGAGCGGGGACAAGCTGGTGTTACAAGATACATGTGGTATTATAGAGCTGTTGGTGTGGAAAGAGACGATTCCACGAGGGAGCATCCAGGATTAGATTGACTTGCAGGAAACACACCGCGGCCATTGGTTTCCGGGGAAATTCTGCGTTGCCGTTGAGTAAAAAACGGCTTGGTGTCGCAGAAAGCGGAGTAGTTATCCAGTCGTGACTAAAGGCAGAGGCTTACCGCTTGCGCTGATCCGGATGTAGAACTCCTGAATTAAATGAGCTGTCGTGGCGTCATCAACCGGCGATTAAACTTTCAGCGTTCGCAGTATGTTCGCACCACTCTTGGTTATGGACCGGCGATTACGTAATACAAGAACTGAACGCACAAAACCTGGATGATGGCAGAGATGGAAGGATTTCACAGACGGATGGTTCATTATTAGACGTACATACGTATGCGCAAATGCACGAAAATACAAATAACCCGTCTCAAGGACGGGTGAACACTGGACATGCAAGCGAACAGTACATACGCTTCGTATATATACTGGCATTATTTTGGTCGCAGTGCATATGCAGTTTGGTTATCTTTTTCTGACTGCTGTGGTTTGTGTGCAGCTTAGAGAAGCATTTAATACCGGCTTAGAATACTTAAACTTCGTCGTCCCAGCTGTTTGCACAATACGTCGTTAAGCAGAACTTGACACGTATAGGAAAATGAGAAAATGATGAGCGTTGTTATAGTAAGACCGTGTGTTGGAACACAGCTGGATAAGACGGTAACGGAAACGGTTCGCTAATGAGACTGCGGATACCTGGATTAGGAACAAATGAAAAAGGTCACCGGCTAGTTACGCTGCATGGTAGCCGCTAATGGTTTACCCGAACACGTTAAGCAGTAAGCAGTGGTAAAAGTCTTGAACCCTTACGGTATTAGTGTTACCGACAAGGTCACTATTGCAGAAATACATTGGTCTTTTACGCATAATACGCATTTATTTGGCATCACGCATAAATATTAATTAACTAGCGCATTCGCTCCTAGAAATCTCGTTCACATTTTTATCGTATTTCGAGATGTAGAGCGGCATCCGTTTGCCCGCTTTTGGTGACCGGTTAGATTGCAGGTTGTAGCACAAGAGGACTCAATTCACCAAATGTGTATCCGTTTGACGCAGCCCACACATCGCCACCATCAAAACGCTGCTATGTTGTGTAATCCCGGATTGTCGTCGAAAACGACAATGCACTAGCTATGCTCACGGCCTTTTCACGAACGGCATCCACCAGAGTTGTCTTACTTTTCCTAGTGGACAGTGGACACTCCTGGGCAGAGAGCTATGGCATTACAAATCTCGGCATTCTCCATTGTGAGTAGTGTCATAAGCCTACTATAATCTTTGGCGGTGTCGGATGCTGTTGCATGCATCCTCGGTTGTGGGCGTTCTCAAGCAGCAAATCCGCCCTGTACATTGTACTTCAACAGCATGTGATGTAACAATTTCACTTGTCGCAACACTGCCTTAAACAGATTGGCGTATTAATTGCGGAGATGCACTGTGACAAGCAATACATAACCGGCACTTGTGTCAGTCCAGCATCGGCTAGACAAAAACACTCCAGAACCACCCAGCATTAGTCTGATGAGCGGAAATGAAACACCGGCACATCCGTCACACTCGCAGCTGTTCCTGATGGCAGGGACAACATCGCCGCAGTCTGCACCTGCTGGTTGCTTGGCAGTTTGCCAGTTCTAACGCTTTGGAATTTACCGTAACGTGCCGATATGATGAAGGCCCTAAGCGTAATAATTTCTTCCTGCTTGTTAGCGCTGGTTGCAGCGTTCAGCGTGGACATTGTGACGCTGGGCAATATCAACCTGCAGACGTTGGGATCCTTGCCACTATCCGGTCCGGCGATTGATTTAGCGGTGGAGGAATTACGAACGGTGTATAAAGATGTCTTTACTGTGTCGCATGCGTACTTGTATGATCGGCAGGCGAAGACGTGCGAAGAGGTGGCCTCGGTGGCCGATGATCTGGTGGCCGGGTTCTATTACCGGAAGAACACCACCTCCGATCTCACCGTCTTCATCTCCGTTGGTACGTGCAATTAAGTGCGGCTACTTCCGAAAAGCAACTGCATGAAGATCCATGTGGCATAATTATACAAACACGCTTTACGGTGCATTATCAAAACTGGCAAGCTGTTTATTCACTAGGTTGCACGGAACAAGAGCAAATCGCTCGACTGTCATACGGTAAATGTTAAAACATATTTTTATATGCCGACTTCTAAACAATTTTGGACAAAAATTCCTTGTTCCATGTACTATTGGTACTTATCACGCAATCAGGTGATTTTTTTGCGGTGTGGCGCAAAAGCTGGTTTTCGGAGCGAAGACTGAAAAACCGGATTTATCGTGTGACCGGCTTTATTGTTAAAACTATTGTTTATAACTGGCCAGCCTGACCTGTTACCGACAGTATAGCGATTGAACGGAAAAGAACTACATGTCGTTTAACTGTAACGAATACCATTTATTATACCTAACACAGCTTTTCTTGATTATAGAATGGAATTTGGCGGTTATTTACGGGTACAGTAATATGCGTTTAAGACAGTTCATTCCAGTGTGATGCCAATTTTATGGACAGATCGACGACAGCGGTATCGTCGCGCAAGCGCAACACCTACCCACAGATGATCCTAGCCGGGCCGGGCAGCGGCTTCCCTTACATGATCTTCGGGCTGAACGTGGCACAGTTGTTCAAATGGACAATGATCTACATCGCCTACCAGGCGCCCGGACTGCCCATCTACCAGGACGCCGCCACCAACTTGGCGCTGACGCTGCGCCGGGGCAAGGCTAACCAGATCCGGGTGGGCGTTGTCGACTGTACGACCATGCAGACGACACGCGAGTTTCTGGAAGATTTCCGCGCCAATGCGCGCAGTTAGTACACCAAACTGATACGTTTTCTCTGCGGACTTTTAAATAATTTACCTTGTCGCTCTGCAATTGCAGTTCTGGCTTTTATGGGACATCCGACATGTATGCGACAAGTTATGGTACGCTTTTTTTGTACACATAACCTTTTTACCTTGTTTCGCTGAAATGAAAGGGGTGTTTCAGATTCAAGCGGAGGCAGCTGGAATGACGAACGGCGAATTCGTAAGCTTCATTATGTTTAACACACGGGTGACCTTTAAGTAATGCTGTATTAGGTGTTTTTCTTCCCGGAATTTCTGCGGGGAACCTCCATCTACGGAACCTTATCCTGGGAGAACCACGATGAATATGATGCGGTGGCGCGGCGAGCGTTCGGAGTGCTGCTGTTGATAACGTACTACGAACACACCACGGACAACCTCACCTTCGACGCGGACGCTTTCCGGGCTGAGTTAAAGCAGCGCTCGCAGCGTGATTATAATTACACTTATGGACCGAATGAGCAAGTATGCTAGATTATTTTCTTTTCGGTCAAATGAAAAAAAATATTTAAGTGTTTCGTCTGCAGCCGAATATCGTCGCGGTGGCCATGTATCGTTGCTTCCAGATGTTCGGCATGGTACGCTCACTTTTATCTGTATGATGAAATGGATGAAATGAAAATCGTTTTTGTTATGGAGTAGGTGCTGAACGAGAGCTTGTCGAGTAACCAGTCATGGAATCCTCGCGATGGCGCAGCGTTCATACAGAAATTCTGGGGACGTACCTTCACGTTGCCGGGTGAATCGATTTACATCGATAGAACCGGAGAACGCCTAGACGATCTGGTTCTCTACACTTTTGACTCGTTGTCCGGCACGCGAACCGTTAAGTACTCAAGTCATCGGTGCTACAATTAACTCACTCGCGGAATGTTTGTTAAGGGAATTTTATCTAAGCAAGCTTGTAATGGTTACAGGCGGTTTTGCGTCAGGATAAGTCAACATTCGGTATCGTACCGACGGTACCGTATAGTCCTATTAAATGGCCCATCAAATGGCCGCCGCCCAGTCGACCAGTCTGCGGGTTCTTCGGCAACGACGGACCGTGTTCTTTAAGCGGTATGCCTTGTCGAGCGTATCAAATCCCTCCACCTAAAACCGTCTTCGTTCACAGATCGCAACGATGTGCTGATTAAAGGCGTCAGTTGTGGAGGCGCTGCGGTGATCGCGTTGTTGCTGCTGATACTGATTCGGTAAGAACGCCACCGTAAGGAAAAAGACGCTTGGAACTGATGTGCATGAATATGTGGAACAGATACATCCGCATCTGGAAGAGGCTGCACGAGCGTCCCTGGGTGATCGATCCCGCCGATGTCTGCTTCTTCCCCACTAAACCGCGCTCCTTAACTGCTCCTAACCAGGCGCCATCGGTTATAGCCAGCACAGCCACCGTCGCCAATGGAACACTGCTTAACCTACACCCGCAGGTAAGCGCTGTTTTGCCACTCGATCAGTGTAATGCGACAAAGGCTCCTTCGAACTGTACTGCTTTGTAGTCCAGTCTGGGCGAGCACTTTGTACAAGTGCGCTACGCTGGCTACAAGGACCGTAAGATCGTGCTGCAAACGGTGGAGCTGATCAACGACGAGAAGACCCTGACATCGTTACTGGCAAAGGTCAGACGTTCGTGGTATTAAGGGAAGTGGTCCGGTACATGGTACTAAGGTTGTGTACATGCACGAAATCTTTCACTTTCGCGCACTTCCAAACCCATTTTTCTGTTGTTTTATGACATTCTATAGCCAGATGATTTGCATACACGGGCAAGAAAACCGCTTGTGCGCGCCACATCCGGCCAGGGTCAAAAAGAGGGAGGAATATTGAGAGGGAGGGATTTCTGCATGGTCAAAAAGAGGGAGGAATTTTTGAAGCGAGGGAGGGAGGAATTTTGATATGGTCAAAAAGAGGGAGGAATTTTTTCGAAGTTCAAATGAAGTACTTAGGGACCTCGAACCCACGTCTCCGAGGTCGCCACCGAGATCTTCTCATTATATAACCAGTTTGAAGGGCTGAGTCGAACTGAAGTACTCGGGGATCTCGAACTTGGGCCACCGAGGTCGCCACCGAGGTTTTCTCATTGAGCGGGCGAACGTAGCGAGACTGCGTTTCTAATTCAAGATATGTTGAGGGTTCGATGAAACGGAAGTTCCAGTGACCTTTAGGTCGCCACGTGACCTTTGGATTGCCACCAATTTTCATGGTGATTCCTGTACACTTTGACATTCTGAGTCGAGCTGAAGTACTCGGGGACCTCGCACTGGGCCCCCGAGGTCGCCATCACGACATATACCATATATACACAGTGTGATGTGCTGAGTGGCATTAAGGTACTCGGGGACCATCGAACCCGAGTCAGTGAGGTCGTCACTACGATATGTACTACCTATACACAGGTTGCTATGCTGAGTCGAACTGAAGTGCTGGGGGTTCTCGGACCCGCGTCCACCAAGTCGCCACCACGATATATATTTTATATGCTCACTAGTTGATGTGATTTATCAAACCACTGCTGGAGGAAGTAGAAACCGAGAATATTTCTAAATATTCATAAATGTTTCTAATTCTTTTCACTAATATTTCTTATTATATTTCCACATATTCCTAAATATATTTCTTAATATTCTAGATATTTTTCGATATATTCCTGACTATATTTCAACATATATTTTCATAGTAAAAAGTATATCTGTAAATATGTCTAAACACATTTCTGAATTTATTTTTGATTATTCTAATATTAAACTTCTGGTATTTCTGCACATATTTTTACAATTTCTAAATATTTCTTAATACTTCTAAATAAAATATTTCTACATATTTTTATTATTCCAAAATAGTTCTACATATTTTTTCAATATTTCTCTTTAATTCTATGAATATTTTTTTGTCATATATTTTAACATTTTTCTGAATTTATTTTTAAAATGTAAATATATTTCTAGATACTCAGAAAATATTAATTGGTATTTTCGATAGGTTCTGATATATAATTATTTCTCGATACAATGCTGAATGTTTCATAAATTTACTAATTATGTTAATAATTATGGCATGTCCAACTTTATCTAACCAGAACCTCCACGTTTCTACCCTGCTGATTTTGTTCAACAAATTACTTTATGTAATGCTACTGTAGAAATAAATTCGAACACCACTTTCAGAATAAATTTCTTAATGGTTACCGCAAGCTTTGGATCATAAATTCATAAATTCATATTTTTTTATCTGCGGCGATGACACGTTGTAACATAACTAAACATGACACAATGTTTAGTAATGTGCCGGTTTGTTTTAAAACTCATTGAAATCTCATACAATGTGTAGTATCTCCTAGTAAAAGGTCTCATACGCCCTTTTGACAAGCGGGCTGCGGTTCTTAATTTAAAATGTATAGGGAAACGAATGCGTTAAGCATTGACACGTAAGCGCCGAAGCTGCAGAATCAGCCTAGCCGATTGGGCTTTTAGTTGCAGATCTAAATTTTATTATGAACCATCTTGTTACAAACGTACATGTAAATGCGCATAAGTATGTGAACCGTTTTCATACCAAACAACCAAACAACACATCACAGACATCGACAAAATTATTCTTAAGCTTGAAAAGATTACGAAAAATTTTTAACCGTCACTTCCGCGTGAAATCTTACCGATCAGTTGTTGCGCACAAAAAAACGCGTTCACGCTCGTATACGGACAACCACTAAATTTGCGCGGTTTTTTAAAATTATTTCAACGCACTATGGAGGATTGATTGACATCTCATTGTATAACTTCAGTACACAGCACCATCAAAGTTTTGTTGTCGGAGTTTTGCATACATCGTACGTTCTTCCCAGTGTCGCGCGTTTCCAACTGATTTTGACTATAATTATTGTTTTTTTAAAAATGCAAAATTATCCAAGAATAATATGCAAATAATTATAATTTCTGTTTCCAAAATTAACTGATTACTTTATGTAATGCTATTGTAGAGATGCATACTGCATACTGCTTTAAAAATAACTGCTGCTGCTTTTAATGCATACTGCTTTAAAATTAAAAAGGAAAATTTAGGAATCCGTTCGAAAGTCCGAATTCAAATTTAAACTGAACGGGCAAATACAACCTTTTAAAAAGAAAATTTTAGTTAAAATGATTTTAATTTTGGCAGTAATTGCAAAGTTGAGAGAAACAACTTAATTTCCTTTTAAAAATCATGAAATATTTTGATATTTCAGATTTTTAAAATAAAAAATAATTAAACAGCCAGAAAATTTTAGGATTTTCATTTACTTTTATTTGAGCGAGTTTCATCTCATTTTTCATTCATCACTTAACACAGTGAGTTAAGTTCTATTGCGAATCGCTTTTCATCATTTGTTAACTTATCCTGTGCAGATGGATGCATATGAAATATATAGGAAAATAAATTCATTGGAACTGATATATCGGTGTCTTCGCGCACAATTTTGAAACACAAGTTAACGCCTCAAATAATGGTTGTTCTGAGTTTTGGCTATTGTACCCGACCAGTGCTGAAGTGCATTTCGGGTTTCTACTTAGATTTAACTTTAGATAATGAGCCTTCTTATGGATTTAAAGATGGTAGTACGTATTGGTAAACCGAGATTATGCATATTATTCACTTCAAATCTAGGCTCTTTGAGATAATAAAATTCACAGATCTAAAGTATTTTGGCATCTAGATATATTGAACTATTCAGATGTCTTCGCTTTTAGCTGTTTTGATATTTGTATATGCACTGACCTTGATATTCTGGTGTTCGACGATTCAGTTATCTATGTAGCTGTTAACCAATTCTGTTGTTTAGGTTTCTTAGCAGTTTAAACAATTTAAAAATAAAATAAAAAGTGAAGCTTCTACAGAATAAAAATTCTTGCATGTTCAATTATTAAGGTGTGAAGCATTATTGGGCTTAACAACTGAAGTTTGATACATGGTGGTTATGCGTAAGCGTTTATTAACCATGTATTGCTCAGTCGTTAGGCAGCATCTTTCATATAAATGATGGTACAATACCCGGCTTATATACAGAACAGTATATAAGGGGCAAAACTAAGCGTCTTCCACCGTTCCCCTGTACTGCTGCCGTCATTCGCCTGGAGTGTGACGTTACGGCAGTACATATGGTTAAATCTGGCGCGGTACATAAGCGCCATGCTTAGCCACAACGTCGAACCCCAGTCGGGTGACGGCAGCAGTACAGGGGAACGGTGGAGAATGCCTGGTTTTGACCCCTATATAGAGATTGACAACGCATAGATGTGACCTTGTAGACACGATGTGAACTAGACTAGCGGATCTAATATTAAGAAATATCTAGAAATATTTAAAAGTTGTAGAGATACGTACAGAAATATCAGAAAACATAATTTTGGAATAATCAACAATTTATTCAGAAATGTGTTAAAATATAATTGCAGATTCGAGGGACGCGATTCCGAGGTCCCGGAGCACCTCAGCTCGACTTAGCACAGCAAACAGTGAATATATGTTACATATGGTAGTGGCAACCTCTGGGACCCGGGTTCGGTGGTCCCCGAGGACTTTAATTTCACTCAGCACATCACATTGTGCATATATGGCACATGTCGTGATGGTGACCTCGGGGACCCAATTCGAGGTCCCCGAGTACTTTAGTTCGACTCAGCATGTCAAAGTGTATAGGAATCACCATGAAAATCAGTGGCGACCCAAAGGTCGCGTGGCGACCTAAAGGTCACTGGAACTTCCGTTTCATCAAACCCTCAACATGTCTTGAATTAGAAACGCAGGCTCGCTTCGTTCGCCCGCTCAATGAGAAAACCTCGGTCCCGACCTCGGTGACCCAAGTTCGAGGTCCCGAATACTTCATTTGAACTTCGAAAAAATTCCTCCCTCTTTTTGACCATATCAAAATTCCTCCCTCGGTCGCTTCAGAAATTCCTCCCTCTTTTTGACCACGCAGAAATTCCTCCCTCTCAAAATTCCTCCCTCTTTTTGACCCTGGCCCAACATCCGGTTCGGGAGTTATGACTGTTAGGAAATTCCAAAAAGTTTAAATGCATAATGCATTCAGGTGTACCAAAAGTCACATTATGGACTGTTCTCTTTCAGATTTTGCACCGATCCACTGTTCTAGCATGTTTACAAATTTTAAATTGAATTTCAAAAATTCTAAAATTCATTTTAAAATTTGAAAAAAATCGTGGAAGTCTGGATCGGTGCAAAAACGATAACCGTTGCCATGTGCATTTTCGTGCAAAATTTGAATGAGATCGGTTGATAATGAGACTTTTGGTACACTTGAATTCATTTGAACGTTTTGGAATTTTCTAACAGCCATATTCTCCCGAACCGGATTTTACGCCCACAAACGGTTTTCACACCGGTGCATACAAATCCTCTGGTTACAGAATGTCATAAACTGAAACAAAAATGTGCTTGGGAGTGTCCGAAAGTTAAATTTTCCGTAAATGTACACGAATTTGGTACCATGTACCGGGCCACTTCCCTTAAGGGAGCCTGGCTGACGCTCTCTCGTCGTATATTCTGTAGATGTACCCACTGACGCATGTTAACGTCAACCAGTTCTATGGAATCCTCCGTAAAGGGGAGCAGGATTACCTCGTCTCGGAGTACTGTCCCCGCGGCAGCCTGAAAATGCTGCTGGAACACAATAAGCAGTTTAAGGAGAGTGATTTCCTTCAGGGTTTGCTGAGCGACGTTCTATCCGTACGCTGCTGTTGCACATGCTCTGCCTTGTTTGAAAGAGGCCCAGGAGTGTATGTTTGTTGATTAGGGTATGAAATACATCCACGACTCCACGCTGCACTTCCACGGCAGTCTGGATTCCACCAAGTGCTGGTTGGGGCACAACTTCACGGTGAAAGTGGCGGAGGTCGGGTTCGGCCGGTTGCGGGCCGATGAGCCCATGTATCTGTCGCAGCAGCCCAGTTTCACGGAGGAGAAGAAAAAAGCGGTCAAGGACCAGCGCTGTCAAGCGGAGGATGTCCTGGCTGTCGGACTCATCGCCATCGAGATTTTCCGTAAGGTCACTTCTTTCAGGTTTTGCAGTTATCTTCTTCGATAACATTCTTCGCATTACAAAACGCTTTGCTGGCTAAAACCTTTGTTAAATTTGTTCTGAAGTACACCTTCACAGAAGTTATCAATATTGGTAACCCAGATGAAGAATATTACTTTTCGTATAGGATGCTTCTTTTGAAGCAAAAGCGTTTAACGAAAGCTCCAATAGTACAACAAACGATGTATAGTAAAAGCTTCTAGAAAAAGCGTATAGCAAAAGTCGCAAAGTGTATGGCAAAAGCGTAAAAGTAGCGTTTAGCAAAAGCGTGTTGTAGAAGCGTATACCGTATCAAGAGCGCATAGGAAAAGTGTATGGCACAAGCGTCTGTAATGGAAAAATCAATAACTTACATACTTCGCTTGGCTCACAATTTCTGTTCGCAGGACCGGTAGTTTGGCGCGTCACCACCGACCTGGAGATGGGCGTCAACTACCTGGAATGCGCGCCGGCGGTGAAAGACATCGTACGCCGCTGCGTGAAAGAGCGCTACCAGGAGCGCCCGGGGATGAGCAGCGTGGAGCGCTCTTTCGCCAAAGTCTACTCCAATCGCTCCTTCATGGAACGCGTACTGCGCCGCATGGAGAAGTACTCCCGGGAACTGGAGGACGCCGTGGCGGAGCGCACCGAGCAGCTCAATGTGGAAAAGCGCAAATGCGACCGTCTCCTGCTGGAGATGCTCCCCGCGTAAGTCATCCAGCAGTGGTAGTAATTAGTATTAGGTTAAACTGCAGTCGTTCTCGTACAGCAGAAATACAAACAGTATACGATCGTGTAGCTTTTGTGGTATGGCGTAGTGGGATGGCGCAGCATCCACACGGTTATGAAGTCTGACGTTGTGTCAATCAGTTGTGTAGCACAGAAATCATCGCAGCAGAACAATATAAATATATGCTTATTTCTATAATTTATGTTTTGATTTCCTGTTTTTTTTAAAATGTTTTTTATAAGTTGCGTATCTTCGTCTACAGTATCAGTACAGACAGAATTCAGAACAGAAATATAACAGATAAGAATAATCGAATAAATTTTGTATGCGAATGCGTATTGTTATGCGACGAACTTATCAAACTCCATTTTTAGCAATAAATTAAGGGATCGTTTTTTTGGCGCCTCTAGTTGGCACAAATGCAGCACGCGGATAAATGTCTGCATATACTCGTACATTAAAATAGTGTCTATGATATCGACGTGCAACCTTTTCTTTTCTTATCAAAAAAATTCCTTGTTGCGAATATCTGCATTGCGTTACTGGAACCGAGCTAAACATCAAAAACGTGAGAGTTTCGTAATGCAACGGCTACCGGGATTAAATGACTAAGCACCGTAGTCAGCGTAATTTGCAAAAACACGAGGTGGAAACATAATACATTCATTCTAGATTTTTTATTCTATGTACATTGCATATTGTTCATTTTGTTCATTATATTTTTTTGCTCTCACTCTACATTAACTATTCGTTGACCGTACTGACCACATGACAATGCTCGAAATTGTGCGTGTGTGTGGAAACAGGCAGATCGTGGAGGCGCTGCGCCACAGTCGCTCCATCAACCCGGAGACCTTCGACTCGGTGACGGTCTCCTTCACCGACATCAGCGGCTTCGCGGAGTTCGTTTGCTTGGCAACGCCTCTTCAAGTGGTGGCCTTTCTCAACGACTCGCACAGCCTGCTGGACGGGGTGGTGGCGACGTACGATGTGTACAAGGTGGAGACCATCAACGATTCGTATTTGGTACGAAACACTCTCTAATTGCATCTACATCGAAAATATTCAGCAGAAACGTAATCGCAACAGGTCGCCAGTGGACTGCCGCAGCGCAACGGCACCCGCCACGCGGAGGAGATCTGCCGGTTAGCCAAACAGATCTGCACTACATTCGCCGGACAGTATGCGACGCGTCACCTGTCCGCGCGCACCGGCATCCATTCCGGTAAACGCGCAAAGTTTTTACTGGTCTTCCTTGTTAACCGATTGTTGCCGGGTGTTTTTTTTTCTAACAGGTCCCTGTGTGACGGCGGTAATCGGCACAAAGCGTCCGCGTTACTGTCTGTACGTTGGGTGTCCACTTCTTCGTGGCTATGTTATATGAAAAAGAGGAAAAGCCGCGTTGATCATGATGGTGTTGACAGATTCGGCGACACGGTGAACACGGCCAGCCGCATGGAGACCAGCGGCGAAGGCGGCCGCGTGCACCTCAGCCTGAGCACGGCCAGCCTCATCGGCGCCTGCGGACTGCCCGTCCACTTCCGGGCCATCCTGGACATCAAGGGCAAAGGGCACATGCAGACCTTCTGGCTGCAGCTCGACTAAGACGGTTTAGTAGATATGACTTGTGCCTGTTACGAGCAACAAGGCCAAGAACAGAGTATCTTCCAGTCTGTGCAGCGTGTTCCTGTGCTGTTTTGCTTGTATAGGAATATTCTCCAACTATAGAATAAATATAAAAGTAAGAGTGAGAAGTTTTGAGGAAATTAAAGTATAAAAATATAAAATAATTAGTGGATTCCAAGAAAATGAACGTAACGGACTAACTCCAAAAAAGAAGCAGAACTGTACCTTGGCTGAACTACATAACCGTGTCAAGAGAACACGGAGAGCACTATGTACTTCCGGTATATCGGAAACATATTGTGTTTCTATGCTATTTGCTTGTACAGGAATATTCCACATCATTAAAAAAATTACACATATATCCTGCAGATAAGAAAATATACTCGTATTTGTCGTATATGAAATATATATAAAAAATATATATTAAAAATTTAAGATATATATAAAATTAAATATGTAGAATACCATTACATGTAAAAAAGACTCTCTTAGTTCATACTGGAAACGCCAGATTAAAACGCTCAATAAGACTGCAGTAACAGAATTACTCATGTTTAATTCAACAAAAAAACACACAAAAACAAATAATTATTGTTCCAACGTGGTTGACAAAATCCAACCAAAAATCCGTCAACCAAACGGCGAATTCTCTCTAACAACGTTACCGACCGAGAGACCCCTCCGCATTCCGGAAATAATACTGTACATATATTAGTTAAAGAAAACAACGCAAAAAAGACGACGAATTAAATCCAATTAAGAAAACATGCAAAAAAACCAAACACCGACAACGTAAAAACAATTTTCTGCCTACGCTACAAATTATCTACAAAAAAATGAAACACCAACGGTCCGATTAACGCACACGAACGCCGGTGGCTCACGTCGGCAGGGGGACGGAGGCGGCGGCGAACCAGAGGTCGACGGTCTGCTCGGGATGGTCGCGGTAGTAGTCCTCCAGGAGGCCGGGCGCCGTCTGCAGCTGCCGCCAGGTGTCCAGCGCCGACGGCTCCGGGACAAAGTTGTTGTCGCGCAGCACCTCCTCCGGGGCGTCGCCGGCGTCGGTCTCCTGGGCGGGGGAGGCCGGGCGCGGCGGACTGCTGGGCCAAACGGAAACCGCGGTGGCCGCCGCTTCCACGGGATCTACCGAGTAAAATTCAGCCGAAATTTATTATCCATCAAATACTGTGCTAAACTGCATTAGTGAACTATTATCGAATCACTTTATTATTTAATTCAAGGATTTACCTTATCGGTGTATGCTGATTTAATTAAATTACTGAAATTTATCCATTCCAGAATAATGTTGGATTTGTGGATGGCTTGCAGTTTCTGCGTCACATTTACGGTGTTTCTTATAGCTCAAAATTAAATTTTCGTAGTAACGAGCATTTTTACGTGCAGATCATTACGAGCATTTTCGTATCTATAGCATCTTCTGTACTGTATTTACATTTATTTAATTCTGTTTAAATGTATGCATTTTAAACTGATGTTATTTCAGTATCTACTATCGTTCGAAAACTACGCTAATTTTACGCTGCTTTTCTTAGCATTTTATTCTGTAGTCGAATACGTTTTTTTAGATCTGATTTAATTAAATTTATGCGCTTTAAATCGGCGTTGCTTTTGTACGGCTTAAAATGCTCCGCCTAATTTAACACTGTTTTTCAAAGCTCGAAAATAACTTTACATAATACATATTAATTTGCACTTTGTGGTTCTTTTTTTAATCAACTAAATTGTACATATTTTTAATGTAGCAACGTACAGTAATGGTGCGATCTCACTAAATAATTATAATAAAAATACGGAAAATTCCAACAGAAATGACGAAGAATATTGTTAAGGAAACATTAGCGGAAGAAAAGGGCAATACTTCGCGTGCGTACCTTCGATGAGATTCAACGGCACCGCCGGCACATCCAGTTCATCCAGCTCCTCCACGCGCGACGGCGGCGGCGGGGGTGTCGGCGAGGGGGGCGAGGGAGCCTCGGAGGGCAGGGAGATGGGGCTGCTGGCGCGGATCTTCTGGAGCTGCTCGCGGAGATCACCGGAGAGGAAGGGGATGGCGTCGTCGGTGGCGCGCGTCAGGAAGTCGATCATCAGCTGACGGTAGACGCCGTACGACTTCAGCCACTCGTCGCTGACGATGCCGTAGCGGAAGGGATTGCTCTCCGGCTGCGCTAACGACGGGGCCCTGTAAAGTACTCCCATAGTCATTTTACCGAAACTGCATGTACCGGACTGCAGTTTATGCAATGTAATTTTTCCACGATTTTTTACAATTTACAGTGAATTTTTTCCGAAAACTGCCAAGGAAAAAGCGCACCATCGTAATCCATAACTGCCCAATTGCGCAATTTTTCAGAGAACAATATCATGGTAAAATTAATACAATAACGTTCAAATGTTAAACAAACACAACTGGCAATGAAAATTATTTTTCGACAATAACAACCCGAAAATCAACGAATTTCTCCAACGTTTATTACAATTTTTATTAAAAAAAAATTTCTAGCAACCACATAAATTATTTTGCTGTCTGAAAAATTTTAATAAAACCGATAAACTTTAAATCAACAAAAAGCTGTCAAGCTGGAAACCGTGAAAAAACAAAAAGCAAAGCAACGTTCGCGAATCCTTTCTTCCTACCAGTAAGGCACTTTCTTTTCAATCAACGGACTGTTTGGAAAACACATAAATATGATAAATTATTTGTACTAATACATCTAAAACAACGTTCGATTTTACAAAAACGCTTGGCTGCGAACCGAAAACCAAAACAAACAAAGCGAACGCACGGACCCAGCACGGTGTAGAAACATGTTCCAACATGAAATCTCGCTGCAGCACTTACGGTGACTTACCATTCCAACCACCACACCACGCGATTCCCCTTGACATCCAGCATCCTGCCGATCAACCGCCGAATCTCCCGCCCGGGTACCCCGCGGTACATGCGCCGTTCCACGGTCTGGAAGAAGCGGTCCATGCGCTCCTCGTCCGTCTCGTCCTCCTCGGGCGCCCCGTGCAGCTGCAGCGGGAATTTCTCCAGATCCGGTTGGATGCACGCCGCCGCCTCCGTCTCCGAGTGGCCGACAGCGTAGAACACCGAGTGCAGGTAGGAGACGTCGGCGTGCCGGCGCTCCAGACTGTTGACGGGCTCGGGGATGAGGGGGGAGTGCGGGGGCGACGGGCTGAGGGACGGGCTGGGGTAGGGGGTCCCGCTGCGCGTCGATTTGCGGCGACGGTGCTTGGAGATGGGGATGAGTTTGTGCCGTGGGGTGGGCATGGTGGACGGGGGAGTTATTGAAATTTGATTAATTAATATCAGGGAAGGAGTAATACGACAAAAAAAAACGGGAAGAGGTTTAGAAACGCATGGTTAAAACACCGTGTTTTAACAGTGAACGGATGCAGTTCGAAATGCAAGATGTGTGCCAGCGCGGCTCGTCAGCTGATAAAGTCGCTTCCAATGGAATCATGCGACCGAGTAATTACTGGAAATTCCAGTTAGGCTCCGCTTCATCACGGCGCGTCGCTGATACAATCTAAGTGGAACTCCATTACCCTGTGAGTTTCCAGTGGAATGAAGGATTACACTTCTTATGAAAATGTAACGCGCGGCCCTTTGGCGGGCAGCAATGCTTTTTCTTCCTCATGGCCGCTCGAGGGCGGTCTGCTACAGCAACACAGCATTGTGAGTGAAATTTATGGAATTGAAATTGAAAATTCGAGAAAATCCGTTTCTTAGGTTCCTCGTCACAGGAGCCGTTGATTTCCAGTGGAAGGTGGAATATGATGAATACATATGAATGAAGTGGACCATAATGAAATTTTCAAGTGGAATAAAAAATTCATTAATTTTATCACTGTAAAAATGTACCTGTAACGATAACGGCCCTGTAACGGCTAGAATTGCTTGTTAATTTCCTGTTTCTCAACATACTGTAAATGCCCTTCGTGGGGCGAATAACCATTAAAAAATCCATAAAAAAATTACTTAATAGTATTATTTAAATTATTCCACACATTTTCGCTTTACTTTTATTCGGCGTGCTACTTTGGCATTTGTGAACTGCTGGTGCGTATAAACAGCAACACGCGGCTATATACTACGCTTGTCTGTCAAGAGGAAAAAATTGTTTAATTGTCCGCATGCGAAAACATTCCAGTAACCCGTGGAGCGCATCGGCATCATGTGTCACCAACAATCTGCATAACCCCGCCATTACGCGGAAAATATTTCCCACTAAAAAACCATCGACAACCCAGCGACCGGTAATTGACGTCACATTGATTACTCACCGTTAACAACGAGGAACAACCTGCGAGTGTGCCGCGGTGTACAAGCCGGGTGGTTAAATTCTTGCTTAAAGATACAGGTTGCACACATTAAGCGCGATAGGCATTTAGAAAGCAGCCACTACACTACAATTACCGCTATAATAAACTCTTGTTTTGTTCTGGTGCATAGTTTGTACTCGTACCATGATACCAATTCTCCAATTAATTAATATGATAAATAAACTCGATTGATAAATTCTTTGATTTTGCGGCAGAAATGTTTATAGGATGTCAATATTTGACATGTATAAATGCCGTTATTTATGTAGCGCGTAGAAAGGATCTGATATATGGCTGATGCTTATCTACACTATTGCTTATCTAAACTTTATTGGGTTATTCGCTTTAACATAGGCTAAAAGCAACATTACGCAGTTTATTTCAACACATAATACACTTCATCCAGTATCTTACCGATACAACACGTTTGCGAGGAGTGAATCTGTCAAATTGTGGTATAGATTGTAGTATCAGTAATTCACACCGCAAACTTCGCGCTAGATACGTGCTATCTGTACCTGTACGATAGAAATTACGGGACACGCTTGTACATGTACAGTCGACACATCAGACCGTGCGCACAGTGGAGGTAGCGATGCGTGTATAGAGTGGGTCAACACCTGGGAGACGTTGGCGTTTGATCTCCCTTTCAGTGTATAAACGCACGGCGCTGCAGCGCGCCGGCATTTCCGGTCTGTTTAGCGACGAAAAGATCAAGCGTTGTACAACACACACAGTCACACACGCATACATATATATACAGTCTAATTCCTCGGGATTACAGCTGGCTAATCCAATCGAGCGGAGAAACGCTGGGCTGTATCCATCCCTGTCTGAAGCGCGTGTTCGCTGCCGTACAATTTCTGACAGGGAAATGATACACTTGTCAAACGACGGCTGGTGTGCCGGCAGTTTAGGAAAAAACAGCTGTCGGTGCGGGGATTTAATTTGACTGCTGCGGTCGCATGTATAACACGAGTACCGGCTGATGTTTACCGTGTACGAGTATCTTCTCATCACTCGCCGGCAGAACGCGGTCGCTCGGTGGAGGGTGTGTTTGTGGATTTAATTTATTATTAATCAGTGTGGGATGTCTGTGGATTGATACTGCGAGGCAGTCGGGGTGTTTTGTGCAAATAATGCAGCGCTTGTGAAGGAGACGGACTGTTTGTATTTACCGTGTTCCCGACTGTGAAATATCGGTGAGCGTCATTTAATATTGATACAGAGTTTTTAACTGAAATGCTCTCTTAAATATAAACATAAATAATCTCGACTTTCAAGTGCCTATAAGGAAAATATGTAAACGTCTTTCAAAACTCGAATTAGGACGGATACGTACGTAACGCATTATTGCGTTTAAATATTTTTTAAAGCTTAATTATTTCATCGAAACTGATTTAGTAAATTCAAAATTTCAAGCTGTCGCTTATATTCTGCGAAATTACTGAAGACAAATTTTCCGTTAATTCGTATTTTTTGTTTAGTGTTTAGTAAAGACCAATGAAGGATGATAAAAGCTAATAAAGATATATTTTAATTGGTTCGTATTTTAAACTAATAAAAATAAAGAGGAATAAAGACTAACGAAGGTATATTTCAAATGATTTCTATTTTAGGCGAATAAAGAGTTATAAAAACTAATAATAATGTCATATTTTAATTAATTTGTATTTCGATCCGTCGGAAGCCGCTCCCTTGAAATTCTGATGTAAGTTTAATTTTTAATTAAAAACCCCAGTCAACCTTTATATAATTTAATTTGACCGCGCAATGTTAAGTTGTTTACGACAAATAATTACTCCGCATTAATCGTTAACGATCACATGCCAGCCAACCCCGCTACGGACGCTTGACGTCACCATCAAGGCGTGTTGTCAACAAAGGCTCTGCGCAGCGTACACACCTTTCCCCGATCGGGGATAATGGATCAGTGGATAGCTGCTTAAGATCTAGCACGACGCGTAATTACATTCCTGCCCTTGTCTTAATGACGACGTCATCACTTCCGTCGCACAGAAAATGCGCCGCACCGGACAGTATATATCCGGGGCTGTACAGTAGTCGAATAGATGGTATTATCGCTATCGCTCGGGCTGAAATTGCTTCCGATGCCCATTTGGCCCGCTGGCCATCATTAACCTAACCCGCCTCCAAATAAATCCTGCCTTTCCGCCATCCACACCATCCGCACTTCATTTTCATTTCGCGCTGCGAGATGCAACTGACGACAGACGTCTGTCATTGCGTCTTCCGGTGGAGAAACGCCGAACTGGCATATTGTCGTGTGCAAAGTAACGCGATCGACGTGTATATACGCTTTTAAGCCAGGAAAGCACTTCCGGTGTCAAAAATTCCCCACGCAAGGATTTATTTCTGCACCTGTTTTTTTTTATTCAGTTATTACTGTGTCGTTAATTTCGAATTAATTATTATAAAAATACCAATTATATAACTCACTTTGTTGCAATTGAACCCTGTAAAAATCAGTAGCGTTTGTAACCGTAAAATATTTTTAATAAAATTAAAAAAGCGTTAATCAGCGGTTATTAGGGTGTTAAATTCGTTATAATTAGAAGTGATCAACATCGTGTATTTGTAGGGTGAAGACTGCGGATTATTTATAGCCACATATATATTTATTTCGACTGCGCACTGGATGGCGCCCAGTGAATGCCCGGCGTAATGCGCTGCCGCGGCATGTCCCGATTGGGAGCGGCTACGCAGCGGTGTCAATTCGGCCAGCGGCGCCAATTAATCGTCCAGCTGCTGCTACTAATATTCCACATGGCCCTGCCGCCCGTCGGAGCAGGCAGCGCGGTAACCGCCGCGAAGGGCGGTTGCCACCCGGCCTGTTATTGCACTCAGCATTCTATCAGCTGTCGGCGGACGGACACCCTCCAACGGATTCCCCAACTGGCCTCCGTTCAGTGGATGGCCAATATCACCGAAATGTACGTAAATACTCCGTTTTACTGATTTAGCAAAAAAGCGACGAAAGTAGTGGTTCACCAAACAAATATGCGCGCTGATATAAAAGCCGGCCCAGAATAACAAAGCTTTTTATTATGTATTTTGTTTCATTTTAAAAAAGCTTTTTGTCGAAACTGTACGTCGCCTTTTTTATCATTTTCTTGTCTGCCAAAGCAGTTAAACTCCGCTTTACTGATTTAGTAAAAAAGCGACGAAAGTTGCGGTATGCTCCTAAACTACGAGAAGGTCGCACGTTGCTGGTTTAGCATAACCGGCTATTACAAAACCCCGGGGCGGACGCTGCAATGGCACGTTCCGCATAATATCCCGGTTACCTCGGTTCCTGTGCATGTATAATTGGTAGTGTAATTACGCGCCGTTCAGATACCTGCCTGCTGATTGCCACGTGTCCCCGGGGCATCGTTTAGCATAATGAGCCGGCTGCTGTGCCTTGGTGCGGAACGACCGGATAATTATGATAAATTGCATGCATACAGAAACCTGTATCGATTTCACTTACCTGATTATAATCGCTATTTATATATCTTTCATTAAATGATTATTTAACATTCGCGTGCTGTATTGTGGTGCAGAATACATTACAGGTTAATACAAACGTGACCTTTACAGACTGGTCGACCATCAATCAGCGCTGACCAGCATTGACGCAGCGGATCTCAAAGATTACATCAACCTGGAAAAACTGTTAGTCGCCTCTTTTTGTTGTCATATATACCAAAGCAGTTTAATTACGCTTTACTAATTTAGTAAAAAAGCGGCGAAAGTAGTGGTATTTCACTTTGTTAAAATAATTTCGGTTCTTCCTTTTTCTTTTCTTTCTTTTGCCATCTCATTATATCAAGCCATCGTGTTGGGTTGAAGCTCCGCGCCGGTTGATTTTTAAAGTAATAAATGTTTAGGTTGAGGTCTAAAGTAATAAAAAACCGCTATACTTTGTTAATCATTTTTTTCCTTTTTTTTGGTTGACGAAGCCAAATCCCGCTTTACAGATTTTGTAAAAAAGCGACGAAAGTAGTGGTATTTCACTGAAGCATTGCTGTTCCCGCTTTTGCTGTATCTGCTTCTCATCATGTGAAACGGGAGCCTCCGTGTTCGATAACTAATATAATAGTAATAAAAATTGGTGTTGTTACAGAAGCGTAGAGCACAGCGGCCTGCAGCGTATCGCCAGCGACGCCTTGGCCAGCACACCCAAACTACAGCATCTGTAAGTAACGCTTTCCCTGCCGTTCATCTATTCCGTTTGTGTATCGCGTCTTCCATCCACTTCCCGTGTGCGCTGCATACAAATGTCCACGGACATTGGCAGTACACAGGAGGCAGCAGCCCAGCGGAATACGCTGCCATCTACAGCGTACAGAGACGGGAAATAGTGCAGCGCGCAGTCGGGGAGAGATCATTTAGGCGTCGGTTGATTGCCAGATAAGCTCCACTTGTCAAGCAGAGAAAGCAATTGCCAGCGCTGTCTAACTCGATTAGCCTCATCAACGTCATATTTCACGTTCCCCCAGGAGTGCGCCCTGTATCAATCCGGCTGTATTGAATCGTAATACCCGGGGCCTTATATAATCCACAATGCTACATACCCGCGCTCACGTGAGCGCCGTAATAGCTCCCGTATTGAAACGGCTGGACGGAAGTGCGCAGCTCCGTGTGCACAATGCGCCGAAATGCACTAGACAATACGTCCGGGTTCTCCTTCCCTACAATACCCGGCGCACTGTATAGTGCCTCGTAATTCCTTTTATGCCCAATCGATACGGCTATATAGGCTCAGTGACACACGAGGCGCCTGCTTCGTTGATAACACTCCAGCGGGTATTGTTGGTGTTTTTACAGGCATTTACGCGGGAATCAGCTGCGGACGCTGGCACGGACCCTAGTCGACCGGCTCAGTGTGCAGGAAGTGTAAGTGGAGCCTCTCTATACCCGGGCCTTAATGACTAATGGGCGTAAAACGGCTATCATTGCGCGCGGTTTAACGACGGCGCTGTTCGGTTGACGGGAAACATATTATGTGAACAGACACTTTGCATTAGAGAACGCACTTGGGCTTTTCTCAACAACCGATCACTCTTGCTCTATATCTTTTCCAGTTCCTCATCCAATTGCCTGAAGGTATAAACAAACATTTCCATAATAGTTGCTTTCCATATTCTTCACGTACAAATTGCAAAAAAACTGCTCTAACACTTCGGCAGTGAACGTTGAATACAAGATGTTTTCTTACGTTTTCTTATGTTTTCTTATTTCTTATTTAACAGTTCGGTTTATTCAGAAACTGAAATACTCTAAACTATTTTTGGGAGATTTACTTTTCAGGATATAAACATAGCGAAAGTGATCGGTTGTTGAGAAAAGTCGAAGTATTGATTTCTCGGCTAATTCAAGTAAAGTGTGTTTTGTCGATACACTACGGTTTACACTCGCAAGATGACAGTTTTTCCTAATTGAGCTATAATTCGCATTCCCCTTAATCATATTACAAGCGGTTGCTCGACACTGGCTAATTTTATTTTCAAGTGTAAACACGCACAGGAGAGGCGCGTGGTGACAAATGTCGTAATTGCCATCACGCGCATCTATAACCGCGCGCCGCTGCTAATGATGCAGTCAACAGCGCGGGCGCCCGTTTAATTTGCCCCGGCGCTTAATTTTGCGCTTTCTGTTCAGGCTGATCCAGGACAATCCGCTGGACTGCGTGTGCGCCAATAAATGGATGCTGGCGCTGATTGTGGCGCGGCCCGGGGAAACGGCGACACCGCTGCGCTGTCGCAGCGCCGACACAGGACGCTGGCATCCCCTCGGCGAGGCCGCTATTCCCCGATGCGGTGAGTTGATCAAGGCGTGCAGGCCGCGGCAGCGACGGCGTGTGCGCCGTAATGAACTATGCACAACGGAAATTGTCCGGTCGCACGCAATTTCAGAATATGCGTCCATATTCTCAAATGATGTAAGCACGATGTGCAGCTGGCTATGACCTTTCGCCACTGTGCATCCGAACTTGTCCCGTGATTTCTATCGCATCAGCACCAGGGAATATACACATTCACGGGTTACGTCCAACGTCACACTACGGCGCGCCACCCTACACTAATAGGCCCTCTCTAGATCTACATATGATACTAAGTTACGATTTGGCCCGTTAAGATTGTTAACGGAGAGTTTGGTTGTTTTTTTCAATCTTAATACAGCAGTGTGTACGCAGTGTTGTTGACCTACTGTGAAGGTATGACGCTCTAAAACCAAATAAAATAATACCTCTTAAAATTTGGCCCGTTATATAGCACCAGATTCATATACATCCACCGAAACTTTCGCTGTCGCGCACTCCCAAACCCTTTTTTGTGTTGCTTTATGATATTTCACCGATCTTCATAGTAATTGTGTTTTTATGCAAAATTTGAAGAGCATCGGTCCATAATGATACTTTTGGTACACCTCCGCGCGTTTAAACTTTTGGAATTTTAATTCATTAATAACTCCCGAACCGGATGCTCCGCGCGCAAACGGATTTCACGCCTACGTATACAAATCCTTTGGCTACAAAATGTCATGAAGCAATGCAAAATATTGTTGGGGAGTGCGCGACAGCGAAAGTTCCCGTGTATGTACCCGAATTCGGTACTATGTACCAGGCCAAATCCCTCAAACATTGAGAGGAGTGAATTGTCGCTGTGGTAGATATAGCGAAGTGGCAGTGGTTCATAGCGCAGATTTCACGTGTTATCTGTGTTATAGCACGTGTTATCTGTATCTTTACGGTAGAATTTACGGGACAAGCTTATACGCTTCTGCGCGCTTGCAGTTGCGATCTATCGAACGCGTAATTTATCGATCGGCGCGCAAATTAATTGTATTTAAAAGAGGGTATAAAAATGAAAAGTCTGTGGAAGGAAATAACAGGGAATTCCCAGTGAAACCATCCCGCAATCGATCCCAATAGCAAAACCTTGCGTGACTGCATCACAATGCAGCATAATGCAGCGTGAAATAATCCAATTTTCCTGTTTACCCTGATTAAGCCAATGGCGCGTGGTCTCGCTAAGTGTCACATGATTGTCCCGCTTTCCGCTCCAGAAACCCCCGTTCTGGACGTCACTCCGCGTGTGACCCGCCTCCGCGAAGGCGCCAACGCTAGTTTCACGTGTTTCGCCACCGGTGTCCCCCCACCCACCGTCGCCTGGACCACGGCGACCCTGCAGTCCCGCTATGACGTCACGCGGGTCAACGACACCGCGGTGGTGCTGCGAATCGTTGCGGCGCACCATCAGGATAACGGCTGGTTAACGTGTACGGCGCAGAATGAAGCCGGCACGGTGTCAGTGCCGAGCCGGATAATTATAGATGGTGCGTGCTACATAATCCGCGGGTTGTTACATTAAGCAGGGATTTCATCCTGGGAATGTGTGTCATAGGACCGCCGCGCATCACCATGGGTGAGGCTGTCAAGGGACTGTACACCACCGTGGAGTTCAACGTCACGGGACATCCCATTCCCAGCGTCAGGTTAGTCAACGTGGTGTTTATTGATTATGCATACGCCGGGTTTCAGTTGCATGGTAATTTCCTGGAGAACTGGAAGCGGAGGAGAAAGTTACTTATGTCTCGATTAGGTGGTATAAAGACGGGGTGCCACTGCAAATGGGGACGACGATTAAGTCCCGCACCCAGGAGTCGCTGGAGCTGGCGACACTCACGGGACAGTTGACCTTTGAGGGCGAATCGCCCACGCATTCCGGGAATTATACGCTGGTGGCCGAGAACGAGTACGGCAGCGCCAACAGCACGCGGGAAATCAGTAAGCGATTCTTGAATATTATGGCGGCAAAGATATTGAACTACATATATTAAAAATTTAAAACTAATTGAAGTTCTTTGGGAAGTAAAATAATAAAAGACACAGGAAGTAGTCAGTACTATAACAAAACGCACAAATCGAGAACAAATATTAAAAGCTTAAACACATGGTTAAAGTGGTATTGAGTTCGTTCTGAAATTCAACAGTTGAAAGATTAACTGAATAAATTGTAAAAAAAGTTTGTAAACTATTAGTTATTATTTTCGAATTGAAAAGTAAAGAACTGCTGACGCTGAACGTCTTGCGGGCCTTTTGCAGCCATTGCACTACGAAAGCCGGTCATAAAATCCGTAAAACTCGTTTCGCAGTCAGTTTACGAAATTTCTTACCCATCTATACAAAATGTTTGCTAACCAGCCACCTGGAGGTAATTGTTAATCGATGACTTATTCCGTCATGTATTAACAATACGTAATAATTAATATCATAATACCGTATTATAATATCGTTCATTTATTGTCAAATTGTACAAGCCAGTGCCATTTACATTCAAACTTTAAAAACCCAAATAATTATTATGGTATTATGAATACAGTTTATTATTATGTACTTCATGTAACATAAATTCCATGTAGAACGCAATCCGCTGCCTAAACACGCCTTTAAAGGCGGCGGCCGGCCCATCCTCTCGGAGATGGCCAACACCCACCCCCTGCACCGCCTCCCCACCACGGCGGCCACCACTACCGACGCGCCGCTCTCGCAGACGCACATCGGCATCATCGTGGGCGTGGCCGTGGTGGTCTTCCTTTGCAGCATCGGCATCCTTTTCTTCCTGGTATACCTCCGCAGCCGGCACCGCAAGCAGCAGCGCCCCCTGCCGCTCAACCAGCTCCTCCTGCGCAGCGGCGCCACCGCCAGCGACCAGCCCCTACTCTGCTCCGGCAGCAGCACCGTCTCGGGCGGCAGTGTCTCGGTGCTGCGCAATATGATCGAGAACCCGTCGTACTTTGTGCGGCCGCTGACCAGCGGGAATACCGGGCAGATTCAGCATATCCCGCGGCATCTGCTGGTCTTCCAGAAAGAGCTGGGGGAGGGGGCGTTCGGGCGGGTGTTCCTGGCGAAGTATTTTGATTCGGCGGAGACCTCGCGGATGGTGGCGATTAAGACGCTGAAGGACCGGGTGAAGCAGGATACGGTGCTGGATTTTGAGCGCGAGGCGGAGGTGCTGACCAGCTTCCAGCACGAGAATATCATACGGTTTTATGGGATTTGCACGGATGGGGATAAGGAGCGGATGATGGTGCTGGAGTATATGGAGGAGGGTGATCTCAACAATTATTTAAGGTCAGTTAATATTAAGTGGAGCGTAGGACGAAAAAGCGTAAATTACCGTAGCGTATATTACCGTTTTTCCTAAAGTCGTAAATTACCATCTGCCTCGAATTACCGCATAGTGCGCAGACAGGCGCTTTTCTGTTCGAACCCGGTGCGGAATCCACGAATTTCGAATTTTGTTATTAAATTTTGAGCGGGTGACCGAAAAGTGTTGGCCGGCTTCAGCTTCGTTAGTTCTACGTTCAAATATCTGGGATTCGTAAAAGTATATTTTAAAAAAGTCCTTTTTACTAGGACGCATGGTCCGGACGCTCAGATCCTGATGGCACACAGCGGCGACGCCCCGGGCGGCAGCGGCGTGGCCTTGCTCAAGCTAGCTGATCTCTTTTACGTGGCCGTTCAGGTGGCCAACGGGATGGCCTATCTCGCGGCGCAACATTTTGTACACAGGTAAGATTTTTGTGCCGTCCAGATTCTGCAACAAACGACTACCAGCGCCATGATTTGCAGGGATTTGGCCACCCGCAACTGTCTGGTGGGCGAGAAGCTGACGGTGAAGATCGGGGATTTCGGGATGTCGCGGGATCTGTACAGCAGCGACTACTATAAAGTGGGCGAACAGGCGCTGCTGCCGGTACGCTGGATGCCGCCCGAGAGCGTCGTCTACCGGCGTTTCACCGTGGAAAGCGACGTGTGGTCGTTTGGTGTCGTTCTGTGGGAGATCTTCACCTACGGCAAACAGCCGTGGTACGCCTTCTCCAATTACGAGGTCAGTTATATTTTCAGTGACGAAGTAACAACGCACGCAGCGTGTGCTGATCGGAACTTCAGAAAGTTGATATAAAAATCCGAACAAGAGTAATCTAAGAGAACCTAAGAAACCCAAGAAACCCTAACAAAATCTAAGAAATCCTAAACGACTTGCCATTGGTCTTTACCATAAAAACATTTATCCGTATCGACCACTGTACTACCGAACCTGAGACACTGCGCTTGGTATACCTTCAAGCCGATGCTCGATAGCCGTGAAAATGGAAAATGGACAACTGTTGATCAGAACAGTGCCAATATTTTAACTCATAACGTTTCTTGATTGGGTAATACGCTACCGATCCCGATCGACAATAAGGCTACTAAACGAATTAAAAATGGGAAGAAATAACAATACGAGTATTCTAAGCACCGTTTTTGAGAGACGGCAAATTTAGTATTACGATTATTGCGTTCCCACGTGCCATTTCACTACGATTCGAGTCTACTGTGAGCGGAGAAGCGGCTCACGTACAGCGACAAAATCTTTCAAATGATTTCAACGTATTGCGCCGTGGTGCAGTGGTACTGCCTACGCGGATCTAACGACGTAGCCGGGCTTCGATTCCCCCATCGGCGCCTTTTTCAGCCGTTTCTCGGTTTCCAGCGGATAGCGCCCTGCTTATTCTACAATACGATGCGCAGTTTCAGTGCTCTTGCAGTGTAGGGAATTTAACAGGCGGACTTAATACTTCATTCAACCAAGCTCCCTTAATTATTATTGTACGTTCATTAGTCGAACCTTGCATTTCGCAGGTTATTAAGCAGATCAAGGAGGGCGCGCTGCTGGAGCAGCCATGCAAGTGTCCGGAGTCGGTGTACAAGCTGATGCTGCGCTGCTGGAAGCGCAGTCCCTCCGACCGCATCCCCATGAAAGCCATGTACGCCGCGCTGAAGGACATGCATTCCAAGCTGAAGGTCGCCGGCCAGACCGATCTCGAGCCCTTCTACACCGATGTCATCGAACATTAAAGTTATTATTCTGATCAGTTTTCTGTTGATCGGATTCTGTATAGTTTTTGTTGTCTTTCATCTTTGCGGTACTTCCCAATATCTTCCTCTTCGTCAATAGATATACGCAGATTCCATATAAAGCATATAGAACGATAACGAAATAACGTTGCTTTCTATCGTGAAAACTTAGTCGGCCAAACAACCACAAACACAAATGTTTTTCGAAAAGCCGTATCTAGTGGTCTCTCCACGACCCGTTGCAACAAACAACTACACAAAAAAACGAGAACATTCGATGAATTAAAAGGCACTGAATTCCAAACGAAGCGGACAGTTCGTTGATGTTGTAATAATGTAAACAGGAAATGCTAACATATTCATAAACATGAAGCGGCTCGGTATGATATTTCAAACAACTATTAAAACGGTAGTTCAAGTAATGATTTTTATATTTACCGCTCTATGAAAACAAAGATTGCATAATATTATACTAAAAAATTTGCTGCGTACGCGGTTCATGTAAAAATCTAAACGAGTAAATAATACTAGTAATTACTAAGCAAGTAAAAAGTAAGTAAGGCTACGACGGAAAAGTAAAAAGTTAGTAATGGTAATACCGAAAGATTGCGAAAAGTAAATAGTAAAGTAAATAGTAAAATCGACGACAGGACAAAAAGGAAAAAGTAAGTAAGCCGCCGGACCAATAGTAAATACAACACTGGACATTTCATGGGTCAACAACGTTTAAATCTTTTGCCCAACAGCGGCTGTACCTTCAGTTGAAGGGAGTCCAGCGACTAGATAACGCGCTGCTCCCATTTCTTCTCGAATTTTGGTCGCTGCGTATACGCCTTGGTCAGCTGGTTGCCGGTCAGAGCGGTCACTCGTATCCATCTGGCTGGCACGCTACTTTAATACCCGAGATCGCGTACGCTTCTGCTGCTAGTCACGAATTCTCCAGTTTCACTTTGCGTTTTTCCATGAAAACCAATTGATATTATGTGTATTTTACGAGTGGGAAACTGCAACGACAAGCACCGTATCAATTAAAACTTAAGTGCTTCTTTGCCGGATACGACAAATCGGCGGAAAATTAAAAGCTTCAATGAAGGCGGAAAGCGCCGTTGGTTACGTCGTCTGGTTCGTATGCAGGATTCAGAACCGGCTGTTGTTCATGCAGCTACAGCTTTGATACATCGTCTGCTCACATTAACGGCACAGAGTTAAGAACTGTAAATTCCATTCAATCCATTGCAACAACTTCTGCCGGCTGTTTAACTACCGTTTGGCGGTTTTTTGCCTTTTTTAATCGTCGTGCTTACTTGTTAGTCAAATTACAGTGAGTTAGTTAGCTAATTTTGATCACATCTGAAATAATAACCTACAGGGAGGAAAATGTCGGTTGGACTTGGTATTGGTGCGGTGATATTTTTGTGTCTGTTGGATTCTCGGGTGTCACAAGACTCCGTCTGTAAGTCGCTTGTTGCCGAATAGAATTCCACCAGAGCAATTTGCAAATTGGTAATCTTGGTGTCGCTCGCCGGCCCACGCTCAGTGCAGCTTAACTTCCACTTTGGCGTTTCGTTGTAGACCTTTTCCAAAGCAGATCAAAGAGCTGCTCGGGAACCAACTGTTTTGTGACAAGCTTCGCTTCATCCTCCTCCGGAGGCTCTTCTCAGGTAACAACCACTTTAGCACAATCTAGCTGTTTGGCAGGATTAGTTTTTGCTGTACACTTATTTGTTAGTTACTTTCTGACTGAACCGCTGTCGGTAAAATTCTGCAGATGACGAATTCGTTTGCTCGCACGGATGCGCGGGACCTAGCCACGCCCATCCGCTTCGCCGCTGAGAATGGTGACAACCGCCAGAGTTCCGATGCGAATACGACCACACACATGTACTTACATCTCACTAGGCATGCCTGTGCTAGTTTTACTGCTTCTATCTAGTATTATTATAGTTTTATCTTTTATTTCGTGACCACTTTATTTGAAAGTGGAACAACCTGCTGGCTAGATCAAGTCCTGCTTGTTTCAGCAAGCTGTTATATTAACCATTTCCGGCACAAAAATAATATATCAAGCATTATTTACCTGTCCCTGTGGTCTGGGGCTGATTTCACGTATTCAATGTGATTGAATTCCTTGTATGATCGTTGCTTAGGCCTGTTGCGTTGTTTTAACCATTAATAGTGGAGGTCAATTACATTTGGGTAACCGTTGCGCGACGGGTAACGGGGAAACGCGTAAAAAATGTGACGTAACAGCGCGTAAGCAAGTAAACATTCTGATTCGTAATCGCAAAATCTGGGATGGGTTTTCAGCTTACTTGTCCGCGTAAGCGTTGAAGCGCAACCATTACCCAAACTACTTACGCACTCGACTCACACCGATCACCAAATTTTTTGAATTTCGGAAGAATTCCTACTGTAGTTGTTGGCTTAACGTACACTTGCGGAATTATTTCTCCTTAAAAGTTGTTGTGTTGTTATGTTTTTTTATGTATTTATACCATCAGCATGTGAGCGGAGAAGCGGCTCACGTACAGCGATAAAGTCTTTCAAAGGATTTCAACGTATTGCGCCGTGGTACAGTGGTACTGCCTATGCGGATCTAACGACGTAGCCGGGGTTCGATTCCCCCATCGGCGCCTTTTTCAGCCGTTTCTCGGTTTCCCTCGGATTGCGCCCTGCTTAGAAGCATATCGAGATCGCATTGCTGAGCACAAGCGCTGTAGATCGTAATTATTTCTTGATCACGTACTCTGCCATTATGAAATTTCCTAACTCCTAAGACGACGTCTCCCGCGAAGAAGAAGCGACGACCCATAAAACGAAAGCTTGAGGTGGCTAATGGAGACCCGCTGCAACTCAAGCTCAGGCAGATGTCTCCGTTTTCTCGTCGGTGCCATACCAGAAAGATAACAAAAGATCATATTATTTTGTTGCACACTCGTAATCGATAATTAGTTCCAAATAGATTACTGTTTTCCGTATCGAACAAAGATTCATTCTGTAGCCCGTTTGCATGAAACGTAACTTTTTACACTTTGGATGCTCAATTTCTACCCTGGCACTTAAACTTACCCGTCTTCTTATTCGTTATTTCATTTTTTGCTGACTCATTCATCTTTTTTTACTCGTCGCGCCGTTACCCGTCTCGCAACGGTTTCTGAAATGTAATTGACCTCCACCAATGAGAAACTTTACACCACATTTTGTTACTGTTTTTAAGAGCGTGTGCCTTTTTGACCTTATGCCGCGCAGATGTTTATGACGATTCGCCCGCCGCGGCAAACGGCAGTTTTCGTCATAGCGCTGTCCGTAACCTTTCAGTGCACGACGACCACTGTCCAGCGTGCGAAAACATCCTTGAGTGAACTCGATTTTCGGCTGTCTCCAGATCAGTTCCTTACATGATCCCGGCATGCACGGTTCCGCTCATGCAACGAATGTTTTTTGTGGGTCTTTTTCCCTGGGTACACTATATCTGATAAGCTCCGATCATGCGCTAATTGTGTCTAGAACTAGTATAAGGTCTCATACGCCCTTAGGGCAAGCGGACGGCGGTCTTTAATTTTAAATGTATAAGGCAGCAAATATACCAAGCGGCAAGCATTCACTAACATGTAAACACGAAAGCTGCAAATTGGCCTTGGTAGTTAACATTTAGTTTCAAAGGAACTGCCGCGTGTATGTTGCTAAATCCGTTCAAACTTTCGCTTTTGCGCCATCCCAAAAACTTTTTTACAGTCCTCAGTAACATTTTGTGAACAAATAATTTGCGACACTGAAGTAAAAGCCATTTGTCGAAGCAACATCTGGTTGGAGAAGGATGGGCGAGATAAATTTCAATAAGTTTCAAAGCTACCCGGTACAGAAAAAATCTCATTATGGACCAACTTGCTCAAATCTAATATGTAATTGCACATAAGTATTTAGTCCACAAAGTATGTGTGTATTGTACTCTGTATGTATACCAAACAACGGCTCTAAGCTGTTTTTCTCAATTTCGAAACAGATTTCAGAAATTATAAAATTTATTTTGAAACTTGGAAAAAATACCTTTACAGTGGTTTCGTCACTTCTGTCTAAAATCACTCCAACCGGATGTAAAATTTCCCTACGTTATTGTAATTAATTTTTTTAAAGCGAAAAAACCATCAGTGGCAAAAAGCAAAATTACAGCGGAACGAGCAATTCGATAGTCGTGAATTTAAAACAGGCTTACCTAAATTTCTCGGTTTCACTACTCTGTACAACCAGTAACGGTTATCGCGCTGATCGCGAATAGCGATCGGCCACTAACCGGGTGTTGTCCATTGCCACCGCTCTATACAATAGAAAAATTATTATATTCTACTATTTGGAAGTTGGTGAAATTTAGGGTTTTGTAATATCGTTTCCTGTAAAATTCGGCGCTACAAGTTTGGTAATTTCACTTTTACAGAATATCCGGGACTTTAATTTACAGAACGCATTTGAGGAGCACGTCGAGGCAGGCTAATATGGCTTTTTGATGACCAAAAACTTGCAGTAACCATTTAAAAGAACTGTCTTGGTGGTTCCAGCATTTACCAAATCAGCATTAAGTCGAAAAATTAGTATATTCTACTATTTGGATGTGGGTGAAATTTAAACCAAAACCACCAGCTGAAAATCAGAAATATAATCCGGTTTCGATTTGAAACTGAATGCATACTTAACAAATGGATTAAGAAATTTATAAAAAATTTATAAAAGAAAAGAAATTTGATAGATTAGAAAATTATCAGTTTGAAAACTGATTTTGAAACCAAAACCACGTCTATAGAATTATACTAAAAAATATGAAATCAATTTTGGATTAGAAACGTGGGAAACTGATAGATACTAGATCCACAACTTAAAATCAGAAATATAATCCAGTTTTGATTTGAAATTGAATGCATATTAAACAAATTGATTAAGAAAACTTTTAAAATTTTTAAAAAATTAAACTAAAAAAAATTTTAGAATATATGAGTTGTTTTTCAGTGAGCCTTAAATTTGAGAAATTGTTCTCGTATTACGAGAAGTTCTCGTAATTAATAGGTTGGAAGCACCAGTTCAATATTCACTTTGAAATTCATAAACCATTTTAAAATTTGGCATTTTTATTAAGAAGAAAT